GTCGCGGCTCGGCGACCCGGCTTTCACCGACTGGCGTAGGACTTCATTCGCTCACGGCGCCTGCGCCGGCCGTTCCGGCCCACTCCACCCCCGGTGGGGACGCCCTCGTCCTTGTTGGGGCCCTACCCTCTGGTCTGCCGGCCCCTTTCGACAGCCCGTCCGGCCTCGCCCCCCACCCCGGCTGGGATGCCCTCGCCCTCTGTTGGGGCCCCTACCCTCAGCCATCCTGACTGCCCCTTCCCGATGGCTCTTCCAATGGCCCCGTCCCTCGACCTGCAAACATCACCCTCTCACCCCGTATGTGCTTCCTTCCCGGAAAGCAAGATTTTGCCATGGTTTGAAAAATCTGGGGGGCTGTGGTGGGACCAACCTATTAAATAACACTGGCTGTACATAATTCACACATGGAATTACAGTTTTGGGGTATTGTTTCCGCACGAACATGTATGTGTCTGACTATATAGATATATTGTGTGCCCCTCCTGGCCCTTCTCTCTTTTCTTCCCGGACTGCAATCCGAAAACAGTCCTTTCCAGCTCTGTAAATAAAGTACCCTTTTTACACCATCATTGCCACCGCGCCTCTGACTCCTATCTCTCGGCGGGACCGTACAAGTGTACTGTACCATTTAAAATAAAATAAAAAAGTGCCAGTGATTGACCTCAATCCCTCCTATTCTTCCAATATCCTGATGAAAAATAAAATCTCTCTGTTGCATAGGCCACTGTTTGATCAACGCGAATTGGGTGTGGGTCCTTGTACTCCGAGTCGGGCTAACGTCCACGCTAGCTTCCACGCTAGCTGCTATAGGTTTTGCATTGAGGTGATACTTGAGGCTTGATGTGCTGCGGTGATATGCAAATTCCTTTTTGCATAATTTGCAAACAACCTTGCTCTTATCGACGCTTCCATCCGTCCGTTTTTTAAAACAAAATGTCCCATCCACGGGGCCAACCAAAGCGGTCTCATCAGCTTCTTCGTTCGACTATTGTTCACTGTGGTTTGTTGTTGTCTGAAGTCATGAACGTTAGTTGGTGCTCCAGTATAATCGGTACCCCTGAAACTCATCCAGTGAGAAACGTTCCGCGGTACAAAAATAAGTGCGATTAAAATGCGTTAATTTTTTTAACGCGTTAATTTTTGTGTAATTAATTAATCTTAATTAACGCGTTAAAGTCCCGGCCCTAATATATCTATATATATTCATGGAGTACCTCATGAGCTTGATATATGCTGCATTGACTTTTTTTCAGTAGTGTACTTCATATTGTCCAATAACATTTTAATTTGTTCCCCCTTTTGGGAAGTTTGAATGTCACGACAGGCTGTGCCCACGCCACAACCAGTCAATCTGATTCTCTTGAAACAAAAGAGTATGTTAGTGGCCAAATGATAACGTGTCATTTATGCAATTTCTACGCAAATCTCATAATCTCACTTGTAGCCACATCATATTTCTGTGCTCTGTCTTTTTGTTTTTATGTGTAGCCAAAAAAAAAATGGGGTTTAGTTGAGGAAAGCGCACACCAAGCGTCCTGCGAGGCTCTGTGGTTTGACACGACTGTTGACTCAGGTATTGTGGTGAAAAAGGGCTGAATCTGCTGACTGTGTCCCCGTCCCAAACCTCCCCCTTCTGCACCTTTGTCTTAAAAATAGCCTTAGATCTACTCGTGAGGTTCCTATTTGGCTTAAAAGTTGAACAAATTATGCACTACAAATTCACAGACTTGACAGAGAGCTCGATTCCCGTTCAGACACGTTTCTTGAAGAGTTTGCGTCATTGTTATCTACCTCCTATGAATGTAGGGGCTGTCCTGGAGTTGTAGTGGAATGCAAAACATTTTCTCGCTCATTGAAGAAAGACAGAGGACAATCTGTAGTTTCTTTTAACAAATATAAAAATGTATTGCCCTATTCATTCATGCGTAGATTCCAGGACACTCCATTCTTCTCGTTTTTCCCCCTCATTGGCCATGTTCATTTTATACCTTTTTTTTAATTTTCATTGTAAGCCATGATGGAGAAGCAAAGTGACCAAAGTCTCTTGGCGCAGGCAGCGCTGCACAGCTGTGTGAATTCAAACCTCCCTTCATTTGTGTTATTCTGAGCTCGTTTTGAGTTGTTTATTTTCTATCTCTTTCTCCTCCCTTATTTAAACCACGACATGCCAAAACTGAATTTGCTGTCATTCCTGTTCTGGTTGGGGTCTTTTATGTTGCTGATTTTAATTTGTTCACATCTACTGCTAAGCTCCTGGTTTCTTGTTGTTGTAAAAGGTATAAGCTTTGATTTCTATTTTACTTTTCCTTATTTTTGTTAACAATTTATGCTTACAGAACACAAGATATGCTGTAAACCCTGTTAGGACATAATGTGAATACGTATCACTTAATATAGTTCACTATTTGGCTTGACTGTAAGTTGCGTTAATTAATAAAAATGTTTAAAGAAAATTCCTGATGTGACTTGTCTGTTTAATCATTTGATATGTGTATGCTCGGATTGAATGACTTATCATTGAAATGCAATATAAGCCTTTTTCACAGGTGTTTCTCATCACACTAACGATGTGTCTGTCAGCCATGCACAAACCAAAAACAGCTAAATTAAGCAAAGCATAATTAACTAATTACATTTTCCCATTTACTGAACCTTTTTTAACAAGACTAAATATAATATTCTTTGAGACTTTAAAGGGCTGAATATTAACAAATACCAATGGAAAATTGCAAATGGCTGTTTTATAATTTATAGTCAAGTTGCACTTTTGACTCTCAAAACTACATTTTTACCAAACATTAACCATTTTTCATGCACGGTACAATTGTCTGTCACCATTTATTTTAGTTAAAATGAAGAGATTTCACGTATGCTAATGTGTAGATTAAAGGCAGTGTCTCTAACTTGACAAGTAACATTTATCAGATGATATGACATGTTACTTGTTTTTATCCAAAGCTCAATACTGTGGGCAATCCGGGGTGAAGTGCCCTATTAAAAAGAATAGTGCTAGTTTTTCTCTTTTGTAGATGCTTTTACCGTCTTGTCAAATTATAACCTATTAGTTGAATTACCAGTCACATTTAACAACAGTGCATTTCAAACTTTATTTGGAGTATGATCAGGACTTTGGCATACTGCAACACTTTAAAGTAGGACCATGAGGAGGGTTTCCACATTCACAGATATAAAACATTAACAAATTGGCTTATGACAGCAAAGATGACAATGTAGATCAGGGGTGTGAAACTCAAGGCCCGGGGGCCAAATCCGGCCCTTGACTTCATTTTATGTGGCTCCACAAGAGCTTGCAAGAGCTTGCAAAGCTTATAATATGTTTGTTATACGGTTACATGGCGATTTACAGAAGCACGTTGCCCATAAACTACATTTCCCACAATGCATCTCAGATATGCCTTTTTTTTCCTCAGAATTTGTCTTTTTCTTCAAAATGTTACTTTTTTTTCAAAAATATCACATTTTTTTTGGGAATTTGGCTTTTCTTTTTAAATCATTTTGTGACATTCTCACTGAAGAGACTTGCAATTATTTGCCCTAGACTTCTGCTTTCAGACGTAGTTAATTATGAAGTTATTACCCTATCGGATAATAATCCAATGCAGAGGCAATCATGTAATATAATACATTATTATTTATATATGTATATTTATAAAGTCTTAAAGTTACAACCGGCCCTTTGAGTGTAACCATAATGCTGATGTGGCCCTCGATGAAATTGAGTTTGACACCCCTGATGTAGATGGTCCGACAGGCTGACAACAGGAGAATTAAAAACATAACAATCTACAAGTATAAATCACCATACTGATGAAAAACTAGTATATGAAAACAAAACTAACAAAATGTATCGACAGACAGTTTGATCTTGCATCATGAAGTGTGAGGAGTTGTGCGTAAACAGGCCTCTTAACCTTCTTTCTGCCCAGTTGATCCTGTGGAGGACACTGACAGAAGAGTTAGGACCAGCTACATAAAAACACTAAAGGATTAAGTGGTTTGGACGTAAAAATAAAACGGTTACACAGGTCTCTCAGGCAGGGTAACGATGTGTGACAGGTTTCCTGGACGACGACTGCTTCCTTGTCTTCACACTGGAGGTCAGACGGTGATCATAAATCCCGGATTTCCTTGACGAATGAAACCAAGGGTAATGCCTACAAAATAACTTGACATGTAACTACAACAATAAATTAATGCAAAAATATGGCCCGAGTTAGTGCGTGACCAGATTTTTTTGTTTCATTCTCAATGAAATTCCACATTGAATAGAAAGATCTTTCATAAAAAGTTATAAAATAAATAAGCACTCTTTCCCTTTGAGTTTTGAGTAGAAAAAAAGTTGCACAGCGTGCAGGCCCAAGAGGAGAAAGAGCAGTACATTTTTTTTAAATGATTATTTATGTTATTTTGCAGAGGTATCTGTGCCCTCTGCTGCTCTTCTTTGGCCTTGTGGTCACAGACATGCTGGCTGGGGGGGGGATCAGTGCGACCCTCCTCAGTACACCCAGTTCACCGGAACCCACTGGGGTTCACTGCACAGTTTGTCTACATCGGCCTGTAACGCCTCGAAGGCCTTGTCCAGGTTGTCGTTGGCGATGGTCAGGTCGAAGTAGTGGCTGTACGCCCTCTGGATCCGCGCGCTCTCATCCACCGTCTTCCTCAGGTCCACATCCTGCAACACAGGTCAGTGGTGGAGAGATCAGCGCTAAAAGCTCTCTTTTATGAGATTGTCGCTTCTTTGACATCAATTTGTAAATCGTCCACATTTTAGGGGGGGGGGGTTATTGTTTGGGAGACAGACAAACTTCACATAACAATGACTACAATGTTTTTCTGTCAGAAAATATAAATAAATGATAAGGAATTGTTACAAGAACCGGGTTATGTGATAGTCTCCAACACTGCATAGCGCTAAATCAAAGCATCCATTTTGTGTATGATAACGTGCTTTACTCTAGTGTTCAAAGACCATGGCTGACACACAGGCAAGGACTTTGTCTGTGAATACGCTCTCACCTAATCACACCCTAACCGGGGGTACGGGTGATTAAATGTATAAATCATGCTTTCACAGGGCTGTTTTGAGTTATTTATGCTGGCTCAGTGTGGGTAAAGTAGTGATGATGTGCATGGGAGTTGTTAACCTACTGTGAGTTGCTTAGTGGTGATGCCTGCGTCCACCACAGCTTTGTGCATCGCCTTGAGAGTATCAAAATCTGGCGCTGCAATGAACACCACGTAAGGCATGAACTCCGCTGTTTTCAGCACCTTCAGAGCCTGGGGAGGCACACAAAGTTCAAAAAGGAATTATGTAACACGACAATATTTAGTTTTAAAGCTCACTACAATGATAATGCTGCCAAATGTTCTCTCTGAAAGGACCCTCAACACTTTTTAATCAAACCTCCTCTTACCTGTGGGTTGACGTCCAGGATGCAGGTGCGTCCCGTGCCCACCACCTCGTGGATGGACTCGATCTTGGTGCCGTACAGGTTCCCGTCGTACTCGCCATGCTCCAGGAACCGACCGGCTTTCACTTCCCCCTCCATCTCTGTCCTTGTGGTGAAGTGGTAAGAGTTGCCGTCCAGCTCATCGTCACGTGGCCGCCTTGAAGTGACTAAGAAAAAGCCCAGTTAAATGTAAAGATCAGTTAAAGGTTTCTTTGTGTTACCAAATTAAGAGAAAGACCAAAGTCAGGACTTACATGGCATAGTGGTGCCGAAGCGTGTGGGTTGGAGGACCATCAGCCGGTTCTTTAGGCTGCGCCGGCCCACGCCCTGAGCACCAATCAGAACTAGCGTCTTCCTCTGGAAAGCTGGCACCTTCGCCACCTCTTCATAGATCTGCAGCTCGTGTCTGTCAAACTCTGTTGAAACACAGGCACAATTATAAGCCAATTTAATAAAAGATACTTAAGATGTAAGATAGCAAAAAACAGCTCCTTACCTGCATTCTTGGCTGTCAGGTACATCATCTTCTTTTTCTTTTTTCCAGCTATGGTTCCACAAAGGATCCCTACAAAAACAAAGTATGCAGTTTTATGTCTATGCTATAACAGCATGTGGCCAGAAGGGGGCAGTCTTGGATCATTAAGTGTTTGAAACATTGCCTACTCAATTGCCATGAATCCGTTTTTAGTGGTAAAAGCAATAAAGAAGTGACATTCACAGTCTTTAGGCCAATCCATCATTTCAACATCAGGATTTTTAAAGAGAGAAACAGGAAGTGTGGATGTCTCAGCTCTAACGAAAGCAAAGTAGTGTATTAAAGACGCACACACGAACATACCTGACCCATCAAAGTCTCGGGGGACAAAAGCTTTCCTCTTCTCTTCCAAGAACTGACTGGGTATCAGTCCTGTAGCCCCAGCGATCACATGGCACGCCTGGCAAAAAGGAAAGATCAGATCATGGTTAATTCTTTAAATCTTTATGTCTCGTTAAAGTAAATGATGGACACACAGAGGAGATGGAGGAAAGCTCACCTGCCACCAGTTGGGATCCTCTCTGTTGACAATCTGAAGAATGTCCCCTTTCTTGAAGGCCATCCCCGCCTCTCTGCAAGGGGTCAGGTTGTCACTTAGTGGGCTGTAGTCGAAGTATGGCCGCACGTACACCTGTGGAGAACACATGCACAGTTTTGAGTCTTTGCGCGATTTAATTCATATTTATTGGCTTGCTTAGAATAACAAAATGCTTCTGGATTAAGCGATGAGTCTTACATAAAAAGTACAAAAACACAGATTCAGGCTCAGCATGCTGTCTCACACACTGACACAGTACCATCGGCTCATTCACACACATTATGTCTGACGTCCCACACTGCACTGACACAGCTGTTCACGCTGCGCCACAGCAGAGGCTTTGCCAGGAAGGGTAAGTGCTCTGGCTGATGTATTCGATTAAACAAGCAGCCAGAGGAAGCAATAAAACAAGCCGGTGAAATATACTGTGCAGCAGAATGTGATTCTGCATTATGTCTCATTCAGTTTTACTGCTCTCCGTTCAATTTACAAAGCACTTCCAAACTGTTGTGTTCGGGATGCAAAGCTGCTTTTCTTTTCTTCACTCAACCTCCATACCTAGTCAAAAGATTTGCACGCATGAGGGGAAACATCTAAAACTACCATATACTACTGTACTTTCCACGTGGGGGAGCATGAGATTACAGGAAGCATGTGTGTGTGTGTGTGCAGGAGACAGAGGCAGCTAGTGTGACCCAGATAGCATGTGGAGTGTTATTAATAGGGATCCCAGGGTTCACATTCCTGCGCAGGGGATTGTGGGAGGGCCGAAGGATGGATCACCAACTTTGAACCACTGCCCAACATCTGCCCCTCATTACATAAGTGGCCCGTGCTTGCGTTTAAATTAGCATCTCATCGGTGTGTTTACCTGCGGGGCGGCGGGAGCGTCTCGGTAGCTCGGGAGTATTTTCAGCGTGATTCCTCCGCTGCAGTCTTTGAGCATCTCCTGCAGCTCCGTGGGGTTGTTGCCGACGTCCTTCCCGTTCACTTCCTTTATGATGTCGCCCACATGGAGGAGACCCTGCCTGTCAATCATGCCCCCGTGAAGGATTCGAGCGATGACAAGGTCGTCTTTCTCCACACGAAATGTCACGCCCTGAGAGGGAGGAGATAGATATCTGATTTTAGCACACCCGAATTCACACGTTCACCCACAATCCTACTGTTCTTTTATTCTTTAAACTTATTCTTTACGAGTGATTTTCTCACATTGCCCTTTATATCCATTAGTATTCCAATTTAGATGAACAGTTTCTTTAAGAAGGAGTCTCAAATCCAAGAAATTCAACATGAAAAACTAAACTTATAGAAATAAAATTAATAATAACACTGAGATAGTAAATAACACAGGAATAAAAAATTCAATAAAAAATGGGGTTATATATAAGGTCATCCTACATATTAAATATTATAATATGATATCCATGTACCAGAATATTTCAAAAATAAAAATTCCTAATTTTAAAGAACCAATATTATATTATTTTGGGGTGTCACACAGTCTAGTTCCTTCTTTTTTAATGCAGTCTTTATAATCCTTCCATTATTAATCCCGGTTTCCTCCTATTACCTCCACCAATGGTGTCCATCTTTCTTTTCAAGTTTCCCTCTGTAATCGTAGCAAGTCATTTTTTCCAAATCCTACTGTTCTGACTATCTACACATCTCCTTAGTGATTTACTTGGTCATTCATGTACTGGATTACTCCTCTCTAGCAGTACACACACACACACACACACACACACACACACACACACACACACACACACACACACACACACACACACACACACACACACACACACACACACACACACACACACACACACACACACACACACCAGTGGCTCTCCGGCCTTCTTTCGGATGCCAATCATGCGCACAGCGTCGGCCTGCATCAGCGCGTTGTTCACTGCCGCATCATTGGTCATGTCGGTCGGGGGCGGGACTTCGTAGCACTTAGAAGCCACCATGTCGTGTGCCTCCAGTAGAGACTGAAAAAAAGAGAGGAGAAGTAATTTAGAAGGGAAATGATGAAAGAGGAAGGCAAAGGAAGGACATATTTTTTTATTTATATAGCACACACAACAAGGCAATTCAAAGCACTTAACATAAAACATAAAAGGCTTTGGGACAAAGTGCAAATAAAACAGGACATTCAGATACAATTAAAGAGCCAGGGGGAATTGAAAATGAAAACAACCTACAATAAAAAATGCAAGGTTATAGTGCAATGTAGGAAATTATAATTATTTTGTTTAGTAAAAGGCAGCCGCAAACAGAGGATTACATGTAAAACAGCTAAGAGTTACAGCTTTAAGGGAGTTTGTTCTAGATTTATGGTTAACGAAAAAGCATATTCTAGTCTTATAAATAAAAAATGGCAGCCTTGTTAACTTAATATATTCAATGGTTTAGCTGCTATAACAATAATAGGTCTGGTACGACACATATTAGAAGAATATTCCTGTGCAAGTACAATTACTGAGACAAAGTACTGACTTATTTTCAATGTTTGCTACCGTGACGCTATGTGCATGGCCCTGTAAATGTAACTAGTGGCCACAGTTTAGTGTTTAATGAAAGTTACATTAGCTTCCTGGAATGCTGAATCAACAAAACCACTACTTGATGTTACAAAGTTAAAAATTGTAGAAGATGGTGGATCAGTGACGCAGGCTAAATGCAGTAACAAAGTCATCTCAGGGACAGACAGTGAAAAAGGCTTTTAACAACATATGGTAATTATCTACTTTGCATTGCTGCGGCATCTGTTTGTTTTATGGTGTTCTGGGCTTGATTTTGCAAAAAAAATAGACATGAACATCAATCTGTTAAAACACTTAATGAGGTAGTCCAAGATGTGCCTAAATGTTGGCAAAAACTAATCATCTAATGGCTCAAATCCCAAATATGGATTACCACAAACATTTAACTCATATAATTCTTGGTTTGCTGACTGTCCCTCTGTATCCATCGTCCAACTGACATACAAGCCTGTCTTTTGAGATGCTACCAACAGCTTTTTTAAAACAGATAGTCAAACAGGAAATGTATTGGTGAAATCTCTGTAGTCAAATTCAATATTTGATGTGATATCTGTTTCCCTCATTTCCTCTTTTTCTTCCTAACCCGTCTCTCCCTCCCTCCCTCTCACTCAGTAGGTCAACAGGGGCTTATCCTTCAGCTTACAGCACAAAGGGCTCTGATTGGCTCAGAGGCTTCGCTTGGCTCAGAAGTCTAACTCCTATTAGTCGAGCCTGTGTAAAGCCGCTGGTAGGTCCGACGATAAGGGTTAATGTTCTATTGATGCATAAGGAAGGTACAGAAAACACCCCCGTGCTACTATAACTGCAGTCAAAACATTACAACTCCAGGCTGAGATAATGTTTAATGTACTATACATTTCTTGATAAAAAATATCAAAACCTATCTGTAATTATGGCATTTAGCTCCAAGAAAATAACTTGAAAAACCTTTGTGAGGTGTGAAATGCAAAAAGGTTGCAAAAGTATTGTCTACCAATGGGTTTCAAATGTCATATAACTTCCCAAAACTGAGTCAATACTCCACAAGCAGGATATACCACATGCATTATGTGATAATGTCTGTTTTACTTTAACCCTCGTGCACAAGATCAAGTGTTTGGCTCTGCCTCACCTGGAAGTGTGGCTCCTGGAGGATCCTGGACAGTTCGGCCGCACTGTTGTCTTGCAACTTGAGATTGTTTATCTCTCCCAAGATATCCGTCACCAGCTCCACATTGTTGTCCTGCACCGCCTCCAGCTTCACTTCCTCTAGCTGCTCGTGAGCCTGGGGGAGAGAGACAGGCTTAGGGAGGAGAGATCTCAAGAGCTTTTTTATTTTTGCTCTCTTTGTAACTTTGTGTGTTAGGATAGTAATTGTCTGAATTTGTGATTTTGGATTCTACATACAGGTAATAGCTGACTGTGTTACAATGTTAAAAGTCAAAGGTCCTTTTTTGATATAAAATGGCAGAAAACAACATTAGCCTATCCTCTAACTGAGCTAATTGGTATACATCAGTGATGTGTTCGATCAAATGGTGTGTGTGTGTGTGTGTGTGTGTGTGTGTGTGTGTGTGTGTGTGTGTGTGTGTGTGTGTGTGTGTGTGTGTGTGTGTGTGTGTGTGTGTAGAGGTCTTGCAAACACATGCACTGTCAAAAAGGCAAAGACAGTATAAATGCATTAGTGCAGACGCAGGAGCACTCTGTTAGTCAAAGCCTTACAGTACTTCAGCACAGCAAGCAAAGCACTGGTGGGAGCAGAGTGTGTTATGGGGGGGGGGGGGGGGGAGCTCGGAGGTGGCAAGCGGTTAGTCTACTCCCCCCGAGCTATGTGTGTGTGCTACCTGAGCCAGGAGACGTACAGTGGGACTTTCCATGATGCCGCGCAGGAAGAGAAGGTCGATGTCTTTGGCGCCCGTGGAGGTGGGCAGCTCCCGAGGATGATCCGACACCTGCTGCATGGCTGGATAGACGGGTGGAGAGATAAGGAAAATAGAGACATAGACAAAGAGAAACACAGATAAGGAGAGTTAGTGAAAGTCATACAAGCATAAACACACACACACATAAGATAAGAGAGAGAAGTAAACAGAGGCGTAATAATATCAGAACCAACCTCTAACTTTTACGTTACTTAGGCCAGCAACTTAACATGATTTCGTTATCCATTAACCTGCAGATTACTTCCTTGATTAGTAGTTTGGGTTATAAAATGTCAGAGAATAGAGAAACATATCCATCCCAGTTTGTCACAGTCCAAGTTGATGTTTTTAAATGTCTTGTTTTATATGATATACAACAGAGAAAAAGCAGGATATCTCTTCATTGAGAGGCTGAAATCAGCATTTTCTGCTATTTTTATATTAAAAAGCAATCTATTAACTAAAAAGCTGGTGAATATTTTTATTTTTATTGATTTAGTAATTAGTCCGTATTGTTGCAGCTCCAATGTTACTCAATTATTGCTAATCTACACGAAAATGTTTTAAATTACAAGAGAAATATAATACAAATATATCTTAATTATATCATGCCCTTGAGATGTTGTTGCTACACAGCCTCCCTCCCCCCCCCACAAATATATCAAAATAAAGCTCCATCTGGAGAATCATTGCGTCAGGTCTGTTCACAATAACCACAACAGCATTAAAAGTCCAGTGATAAAACTCCCACATGGACCTACATAAAATGTGTATAGGTTGATTTCTGAGAAATATTCCTACTTTGTTGAGTCTTGTATTAAATGTGCACACAAACAGAGATAGGTAGAGGTGTGACTGCAGGTATCAGCGAGATAACGCCTTAATGCCAGGTCTCAAAGCCCACGTAAGCCCATTTAAGACACTTAAAGCTCTGGGAATGTGTGTGTGCATGTCTGAGTCAGTATACACTTATGTGGGTAGTAAATATGTCTAGTCATCACATATATCCAACATATTTACCCTGTGATTATGAACCTATGATTATCATCTTTAACCTTGACTCAAGTTATAAAGTCAAGACACCTATATAGTCCTATATAGAAAAAGGTGACACATTAGTTGCTGGTTTGAGAACATACAAAGGATTTGTGTATTGTGTTTTATTGTGTGTGTGGTATGGACATACTATGCCACAGACTGTAAACAACATAAAAATATAATTGTAACGTTTTCAATGCTATTCACTATCTGGTTTAAAGTACAAAGGAAGTCAGTTCAACTATTGTTTGATATGGATTTATTTAATATCCAAGTTGCACAGTTGTATGATGAAGAAAGAAGGAAGGGAGCTTACAGGGTAGAATATGTCAAATATAAATGCAATTTATCTCACAATGAAGCAAAGACCTCCCAATGTCTTGATAACCACAGAGCAGAGAGACTGCATAACCAGAGGGCTCCATGCAAAAACAGCCCTTAAATATTTATGATCCTCTTAAAGAAAGCCAAATGGGGCAGAGAAGTTAAACTGCAGACTGTTGAGCCTGTGTATCCATAAACCAATTTGTTTACTACATCATGACACACTTAACACAATCCATAACTGAATGCATATATGGAATGCACTAACTCAGTTCCTCTGGGGACCCAACACGATGTTTCACTAACTACAAAAACATACAGTAGGGCTGTAATTGTAGTAAACACATCCACACATGTGCAAACACATAAACAAGCGTTAAACCACCAGCCTCAAACTCACCCAATCACACTTATAGAAAATCGCAATACGATTTGGAGGATTATGTGTTTTCCTATTTTCCCAAGATGTATCCAACATCTGACTACAAAAATACACACATACAAACAAACAAACAAACAAACAAACACACATTCACACAAACAAGCACACACACATACAGCATACAGCTGTATCCTGGGTTTCAATGCTTTCTGATGACCTTTCCCCACCAGGTCAGCTCTCTGTGTCACTGCGTCCTCGACCACAGGAATGTTTGCTCATCCACAGCCCGTCCACAGCCCCCCCCTCTGCCACGTGTACTAGTGTGTACGTTACTCATGCTAACAAGCAACCCTGGGATGCTTTTCTATCCTGAGAGAGAGATAGACATGAACTAAAGCCTCCTAACTGAAGTCTGTATAATCCCATGAAATATGGCATGGAGATACCACCCCCCACGAGCCTCCTGCTAAAGCTTGCCTGAAGAAGTTATAAAATCTGAGAGATTACAGCATTTGGCGGTTACAATAGTGTTTTCATCTACACATGAATCGTCCTGCTTACCTGCTCTTAATTCCCGTCTCTGTCTGCAGTCTCTTTTATCCTCCGACCCCCGCCTCTGTCCACCTACCAGCACCGTTTTCTGTGAATGCCAATGCAGAGCCTCCCTGCTTAACAATTCCTAACTCTCTCTCTCAATGCTACACATTAAAAATTAAATAAGAGGTGCACCTGGGCTGACACAAAAGTCTCCCACACCGAAAAACACTTTTATTATAATGGGATTTTTTCAGTAATGAAGGTTATGAACTGAACCGCCTCCAGGGGCAATAAGCAAGCAGTGAATGTAACCAAGGTGACTCACATAGTTGCTACGTGGTATTGTAAACAGGCTTAACTAAATTAGAAGCAAAAGTTTATATATTGACTCAGCTGAAGTCATGGAGCTAGCTAACTAGTAGCTACAACTTAAAGCTAATGGATGGATAGTAGCATTTGGAAATAGGAAATAGTAGGGAATAGTAAGTTACTTCAAAGAAGTTTTTCTGTTTATAATAGTTCACATTAGCTAGAAGTTATTGGTAAATGTTTGAAATAGATTGATGAATAAACCTGTAAAAAAGTAATAGATAGACACAATAGATAGATAGCAATGGTTGAAGTGTCCAGCTTTTGCCACTAACAAGTGGTAGGTTAGTACATGTAAAAATGACCTAACCAACATTAACATTGACAATAAATAATGTGTTAAATAACATCTAATTTAAAATTGAAATTGAACAGCTTTGGGAAATGATGAAGATGTTTTTAAGTTCTTCTGACAGAGCTGACAAACTCGACCGCCTTCTCATTTTACATTAATCCCTTTCATCAATCAAAACAAAATCAAAGACTGCAGAATCTCTCCCCTCCCTGGTGACACCCCGCCTTTCCCTCACCTCCAGACGTATCTGTTCCCTGGGTGGACGGCACTGTAGGGGGCCCCTCCGCGCCAGGCTGTCCCGGGGCCGTCACCTCCTCCTCTTCCCGTACCCCATTGGGACAGGCGTCCTCCATAGCTGTGACCATCGCCAAGCCCTCCTTCTTCCTCTCTGCTGCCTGAAGTACGCTAAGGCTAACCACTAGTGAGCACCAGCAGTTCTGCAACTACGTTGTCTCTCCTCCAATCGTCTTGTCTGGCACTGCTGACCCGCTAAACTCCCAAAAACACAGAAAGAGGCAGAGAGAGGAGAGAACGAGAGAGGATTGAGGACATAGGAATGAGAGAAGCAGGAGACAAAAAGAGAGCGACAATAGAGTGGGATTAAGATCAGGGGATATTGAGAGACAAGGAGATGCAGAAGGGAGGAAGATGAAGGGGGGGTTAAGGAGGGAAGATACTGATGTAAGTTCAGAAAGACAGGCGAGAAGCCGGAGAGAGGTAGAAAGCTGGAGGGCACACACAGATGTGGACATGCGTTCAATACTTGTCGCTCGCCTCCCTCCACTCTTTAATACCTTCCTGACCATCACCCCCCCCCTCCGTTGGTCCCACACACACATAATCCCACAATCCTCTCCTGCTGTTGAGGGCTTGCTTGAATACCCCTCCTCTTGTTTCCCCATCCTGAGTCGAGTCGAGTCGCCACACACACACACACACACACACACACACACACACACACACACACACACACACACACACACACACACCAGTTGAATGTGTCATTATGTAAGTAATCTTACATAAGTGTTACTGAAGGGGGTCTGACCCTACATTCCCTATTCTCTTCCCCCTTCTTCCTCTCATTCACACTGCTCCATGGCTCGGGCCCCCCCGCTGCAGCGCTGTGCAGAACGCTCAGCGTGTGCAGGACCAAGCCGCTCAGCGCCTCCTTAAAGCAGCATGTGTCCGAGTAATGGGAGATTTTTTTTCTCTGTCATTTTTACTTTGGTCTTTCCTCCTGATGTGCCCTTGTTACCTTACTGGCTGGGTGCTGACTGGATTATGCTCATTTGGGGCGGCTGCACGTCTGAGACTACATTTTGGGGGACATCCTGGAGCAAAACTCAGTTGGAAGTTGTGCTAGGTATAAATAATTTATAGAGTATATATTATGTGATGACCGGGACCGGATATTGGAAAAACTGCTATCTATCCAGTATATTTTGAGATATTTCACTATATATTAAGAACTCCCTCTGGTGGATGTGTTTTTGAGGATTATTGTTTAGGATTCATCCTCTGAGGGAAAATGAATGTCTTTACTAAGGGTTATAGCAATCTATGCGATGCATGTTGACACATTTATCGACAAAAGTGATATGCCGTCTACCATATCTACAGATAGCACGGGGAAGAACCACTGAAAACATGTTTTTTTTGTTTTTTTAATATGGTAGAAGCTCAACAGATTTGTTTTGGTGATCCTTCAGAAGAGGCACCATCCATCCCAGAGTCATCAAAAACAGGCCACTCCCACAGCGACACAGCTGTGCGAGGGGCCGCTCTGAGGGCTTTAATCCGCCCCGCCTCTCCCTCCACCCACCCTCAACATGACCATTCAACCCCTCCCCCCATTTTAGCACCATGGGATTTTAATCCGGCCACGAAAGCAGGATTACAGAATCTCTCTCTCTCCTTATCTGTCCAACCAGTCTGATGCTCTGCCTGCTCTGCCAATGTGCACTAAGGGGGCTTTCTGCTGAGATGGCCTTCACTGGCTCTACAAGTGTGAAAGAAAATGTTCCCTTTGGACATCAATACAGTGTTACAGTGCATTTCATGTCAAATAAGACCCTCAAAACAGTTCACGTTTTGTTGGGTCATTCATATGACTTCTGCCTACAATGTCAACTGAATTGTTTCTCTTTAAAACAAGAGCCTATTTCCACAGAGTTTAACTGAGGCAGAGCAGCTGTGTGAGGAGGAACAAACCCAAGTGACTTGTTTTCTCCAAAAACAAAACAACACAGGTAACCGACACAGATTTTAGGAAAATCACTGATCACGAAAATGTATGTAGGAAAGCACACTGGTTTGTTAAAATATAAGCCTGTGTGAGAAAGAATGCTGTTCCCTTGACAAATAAAATACTGTACCACCAACACAATAAAAATGGTACCAAACTAAGAGATGTATCTACCACTTATAGTTGGGAAAGATCAAAGGCAGTAATGCTAGTTGTGTCAGAACATTTGTTCCGAATGGAAAAGTTCATGTAAGCTTAAAGTCAGTATAATATATGTCAGATTTGTCAAAACGTATGAACAGGGCCTGCCTGTTTAATGTGCTTATTAAAAAGAAACATGGTGGACGAAAGCAAAATGTTGATGGCAGAAACCAAACCAACAAGTCTGGAACAAAACGTATTGTTAAAATACATCCTCTTTGTAGCGTCCATGTTAAGACTTGAAGCTCATGGACACACCAAAGTCTGAAAAGTGACTCCTGAACTCGGGAAATGGGATGAATTAAGGAGCTTGTGCAGCATAAATAGATCTTTGTTATATAAAACTGATATTTCACAGTTGTAGATGAATATAAGCAAAGGAGAAACTATTGTCAACTGTGTAATCCTCGTGGACATATTAAGACACCCGTCCCCCAAAAAATAACTGCTGATTCTTTGCTTTCTTAAAAATATGTTTTAAGAGCAGAACAGACAAAATCATGTCTGCCAGCAGAAACTAATTCTCCAGTGTGTCAGTAGTACTGAGGAAGAGGCGGGGGGGGAAGTTGTGTTTACCTGTGCCAATCGGTGTAGCCTAATCCCGGTCCTACTGGCTGCTCATCAGTCAACTGTGAAGACCTGCAGGGAGACAGAGAGATGTAAGGGTTAGTGAGACCATCCGCAAATATTCAGTCCCACTTGCACTCCTGGCTGCACACCAGTTTTCATAATTCCTCAATAACACGCTTGAGCATTTAGATTCATGCTGTTGCTTATCTCACACACACACACACACACACACACACACACACACACACACACACACACACACACACACACACACACACACACACACACACACACACACACACACAATAACTCTTCTTTTTCCCAGTGGATTATCGGTTTCATCTATCTGTGTCACCCTTGTCTCCTGCAAGATATGAGTCTTGTCTGCAGACTGAAGCCGTTGTTCATTGAAAGCAATGCACAGTCATCCAGAACCGTTCATTGTCCTCAGCTATTCAAGGATGCCTGCATCCTCAGCTGGCACCGTGCCGTCAACATAGTAAATGGCTACGAGTCTCTGAAAGTAATGACAAAGCAGTACGCATTCATTACCAGAGAGCATCTGCTCCCACTATCAGTTACCGACACAGGCATCCTCACCTTCTGTGTGTTCATGGAGAACCAGACCACTATATTAGAGGGACATTATTATGAGCTGACATTGGTTTATCATAGATACCTCTTTTTATATTGTAAGCATTGGTGGATGTTAAAAAAACAGATGAGGTACAGAGGTTCAAAACCATGATCAATGTTATCATCGGCAGTTCACCGACATCTGAGCAAACTATGTGTGCTGATGACTACTGGGAAATGCTTTAAAACAAGCAATTAAAGTAATCTGAGTTTGGATTGCTTTGGGGACTGTACTAAGTCAATAATAAACTGTCAAGCTCAAGTAGTTAGAATCAAATGTACTCTTTACATTTGGTGCAAAACCAGAGTTAAAAAGGTTATTTCCTTATTGCTTGTGTTTTCTATTCATAACTAACTCTAAATAGGTGTTTAAAACAAAATTCCTCTCATAAAACTGAGTCTGGCAGCGCTAAAACAATTTATGCTGAACTGCATAAATAAAATGCAAGCCAACAAAAAAAACAATTAAATAGTGTGATAAAAAAATAACTGATGCCTGCTGGCAGCCACAAAGCAATAGATTACCGCCCTGGCATGCTTCATTTCTTTTCGCCTCTTTTTATTTCCCTCTGTTTCCATCTTTCTCTTCCAGAGGAAATGAGAGATAGTGTAATGGCTAGATGTTCCTATAAAAACCACAGGTTCTAGCTGCTAACTCTTGAAACAGTGCATAAAGGCATCCACTAAATATCTAAATGCATAATATTGGTATATCTTCTCAGTCCCTTGCATTGGCCACTTATCCCTCGACTCTAAGCTCCTCTACAGTCGCGATAAAACATCAAAATTGTTTCCAAGGGACAAAACATTTACAAGGTGATTACGACACACAGGGGATGTTTACTCATCATTGATTCGCTATAATCTCTTGTAGCTTTTCTGGGGTCTTTTCACCCATCATGTTGGAGCTAATTGGGCTCTTATTGTATGAGAGAAAGAGAGAGGAAGAGAGAGTTAGAGGTCGATTCATTACACAACACAGATTACAATCAGGCAGGGCACGCTCATTGGAAGTGAAAGATATCCCTTAGAGGAATGTTAATGGTGGCAAAGCTACCGGTTCAATTCCTCTGCAAATCATCCGGACAACAGGGGGGGGGGAAAGCCGGGCCATGACAATCAAAGGTCCGAACAAGGAGGGAGGAGAGACGGAAATGGTACAACCCTAGCAGAAAAATATGGGAGGGGTCACTACTGGCTTTTAGGCGATGAATAGAAATGCGCTGAGGGAGTCAGAGGAGACATCCGGAGCAAGAGAATGAGGGAGAGATAAAAGGTGGTATCCTTAAAGATTAGATGGGAGTTGTAGCAAAATCCTCTCAAATCTTGGGGAGGCTGAGAGGGAACAGAGAAGAAAGAGAGGTGGGAGTGGTCGTCGAATACAGACACCTTCTTAATCTGCCTCGCTGTGCCAAGAAACTGCCAGGTAACTGTAGTTCATCTTGTAATAGGTGCACCAAATGAAAATCTTTTTATATCTAGATTTCCATAGATGCTTTCTGTGAATTTGAATTTCCTGGAATAGTCTTAGAGAGTTTGTGATTGCACTTATTTGCATGTCAATGGCATGTCATCCAAAAGACTAGAAACTGTGTTACAACACATAATCGAATTTCTCAAAAGTCAAGTCGATTTTCTCACATTGGACTCTCAGCATGCACCAGACTAAGGACTCCCCTGATATCCTTTAATCACCATCACTGTCCACTTATCTGTCCTTCTCTTGGGGCAGAGGGGGAAATCACAGGAAGTGGTCATTTCCAATCCAAGCTGCCATTGGCTGGAAGGGACGAGCCAACAAACGTCCTCTGAGTGCCCCCTCGTTGCCAAGCACTCAGATGATGGACAGCTCATGGAAGCGGGATTACGGAGGGATCAGAGGGTTTGTTTTTGTACAAAACATCAATGCTGTCCACACATGTAAACCTGTGTGTGTGTGTGTGTGTGTGTGTGTGTGTGTGTGTGTGTGTGTGTGTGTGTGTGTGTGTGTGTGTGTGTGAACATGCACGCTATTAAAAAGCACAGACAAACATCAGCTGGCCCTGTGGTTTTAATTCCTCCGTCACGCTAGCAAGAAATCACTGGGGGTCATGACACACAAATAAATACAGACTGAAGCCCAGAGAGCATCCTTCCTGGAGTTACCATTCAATCTGTCTCTATATTCTCTGCATATCTTTTCTGTGCCTGACAAAACCTTTCCCCCGCTCTGTGCTGATCTCAGAGCAGCCGTCACTCTGACTTCCTCTCGATGACTTGAGAATCACAAAAGAGGCCAGTGAGCTCTGTCCTGCCTGGGAGCCCAGATGTCACATCATTGGCTGACTCCAGGGGTAGCAGAGGGTCATAATTAAACTTGCTCACACCGTATTACGCCACCATGGTAGTGAGTGCTCGAGGGGGCACGCGATATTCAAGGAAGCAGTGAGTATTTGTGGACGTATGTTTGTGTCTAAGGACTGGCTATTCATATAACCCCCACCGCAACCAACCCCATCATGTCTGCCTCACACCCATCACCCTCTGCCTCCAGACAAGCTCTATGTAGGTCACTCCATGTGTTAACACAGCTGCAGTATGAGGATTACAAAGCTACCCCAAGATGGACCTTTTAGCAGATTAACATCAGCACAATATTTATTATTTTAATTTCTTCTAGCCAGTCATCTTTCTATTCAAATTATTGCAGCATGTCACAGAAAGTTCATAAATCTGCTCAGTTTTGGTAAATGTTGAGTTGTAGCCACCTTTCTGCTGATTCATGCTTAATTAACCCTGCTCTACACCTGACCCTGCAAACTAAATGACCACAATGCAACACAAAGACATCAATTGTTGCATCATTGCAATGTCCTGCATCACCGTAAATGACCTCACTCTCCTCCTGGGTGATGTTCTAGCTGGTGGGGTGTCTGTGCTTTCCACGCAGCTAGGGATGATATAATTACACCGCCGTCCGTCCATGGCTCGGCGCCGAACATGCAGTGATCTTAATAATGAGCACCTCCTGACATAATCTGCGCCTGCTTTTCCTCAGTCTCTCTCCCTTTCCAGCCTCCGGTAACTAGTCATTAGTATTAAGGAAAAGATAAGGGAGGGATGGGGGAGGCGAAGTGATGCAACATGACTGCAAAGTTTAAAATATTTGAAAATTGATGTTGGATGGTGAAAATTTGAGAAGAGCCGTGGGAGGAAGAGACAAGGAAATTAGTCTCAAATGAGTTTAACCAGTGCCTTTTTCTCTGCTCATCTTGGCAACACATGGCTCTCCTCCAGAGTTATACTAGAGTGCGCTGCTAAATGAATGTGATTCTGAGCTGTTAAACAATCTCAGTAGATGACTTTTCACCATATGCTGATTATCTCACATAAATGTGTTGTATTCATCCTTATTAGTCTGTTGTCGGTGGGATTTTATTCGAGAGATGAGTTACATATTCTACATTTCTGTCTTTATGTGGTGAAAAAGAGAGGTGTTTCCGCACATAATAAAACTGTCTTATATGCAACATGGATAAAGTCATTGTTGATCTGCAGTGGTTTACTTCTCAAAGGCCTTGGTGATGGACGGAATCTGGTGAATCAGCACTATATGCTGCAGCAAAGACTGCCAAAACATTTGCCTTGCATCCATTCTTACACACGGATAATGTTCCTCTCTGTACAGGTTAGTGATTTATTTGTGTACTTAAGTGACAGAGATGCAATTAGCTCATGATAAATGTGATGGGGTTAGTTGTGTATTAACTGTGGGGAGGCTTGATTATAGTTGTGTAGATAACAACCGCTATGATACATGTGTTTTTCGTAGCCTTGCAGTGTGAGTCACCCCAGTGTTTGTCTACGTGTGTGTACTGTATGTTTTCCCTTTTTCTATCCCTCTCCTGCTCTACTCCTTCCTTTCTCTTTCCTGTACCATCTTTCATGGGTATTATTAATAATGGAAAAGTAGAAGCTCTGAAAGTTGGGTTTGGTCCCTGTATGACTCACTGACAACTCTCAGGCACTATGTTCGAACATTGGGAAGAATGTGTTTAACTTGAAATTCGTGTTGTCCTCCGTACTGCTGACAGGAAGGGATATGCATATGAGGGCGGAGAAGTCCAACTTCGTGTCTTATTCCCGCTACTTCAGCAGAACAATGAAGGTCATCCTGGATCCTGACTCAAAAGACTGCTTGGAGACTACAGATTTACTCTAATGTACTAAACTGTCCAGGTCTCCTTCCCTTCCTCCCTTTGTTCCTGCTATTAGATTCAACAAATCTGATTAGGGTTTCTGGAAGGAAGACAGAAAGATCCATAAACTCTAGTGTAGATGCAACAAGACCCATGCTCTCTGTTAGTAGTTCCTGGCTGCCAGGAAGGATCCCCAAGGATGTACGTATGTGCATGGGCTTCCCCCATCACGTGCATGTGGCTAAACTATAAGCCTTTGCCAAGTGACCCTCTGAGCAGAGAAGATTCATTGAGAGCTGAAAGTCCATCCTGATATACGAGTGGTTTCATGTTTCGATTAAGCGCTCAAACAAAGTCGTTCTGACATCGTGTTAGTGCATTATGATGAGGCGGTGCACTCATATATCTCAATGAAGGACACAACAAAATCAATAGGAACGTCTGGCTGCGTCTCTGGTCGGCCAGTCTGTGCCACACCACCAATCCCCCCCCCCCCTTTTTTTAAATGTAGTATCAACTTAAAATAAACACAGCTTTGTTCACAAAGTTTTTCTAGAGAAATAAATCCGAGGAATGTTCGTACTGGTGTGTGTGACCTGTTGTTATGGTCTCTGTGTTTAAAGCCCACCCTTTGCTGGTAGATGTTGCAGTCTATCATTTCGGGACTGGCTGCCGCTCCTCATCCTGTCAGCACTATAACCTGCAGCTCTTTCCTCATATCTTCCCATTCATGGATCGACGCCACGGTTCTGACGCATGGCCACCTCTGTGTGCCAGATTCCGTGCGCTTGAACCGTGCGCCTGATCCGTGCCAAACCTCTGCACCGTGTTGGCTGACCAGACAACTGTACATTTACACCGATTTCACCACACGTGCGGCCATTTTTTGTTACCCATCCGAGCCATTGTGGCGTGCGCACACTTGCAACTAAAACCCATCCGCTGTATCCTTCCTCATGCAGGAAAAAGGAAAAGGTTCCACAAAAGGCGCCCAACGCAGAGTGATATTTGTCTGATTAAAGCCTGTTCCCACAGCAGAGCGGGCTCTATTGGGGGGCAAACCTCCCCTTCTGTCAAACTCTACTGCACCTCAAACACGGCAAAAGTGTCTTTGTCTCCCGTTTGAACGCAAGAGGATGAATGAATCCAAATTATTCACAACACAAATAAGATCACGAGCCGTGACTTACCTGTAAATCGTGCTTTTGAGTTCGCGGTAGACCACCGACCGTCCCGGTTGGACATTCAGGCCCCCCTCAGCTGTCTGTCCTGGTCCCGCAGCAGACTACCAGAGAACACGACGCCAATCAAACAGCTACGCCCCGCCTCCTCCCCTGACGTCAGACAGCATTGACCAATGGCAGTCAAGGTACAACACTCGCTAAGTGAATACATTGTAGCATTTTCACAATGTCATACACACACTCGTCCATTCACATAAATACATGTTAGCGTTCTAACCTTTATACAGTCTATGGTTCTAACAAATACATTAAGCCTAGGCTAGGACAAATAATATTAAAGTAGGTTTATAAGTATAGCTATGTATGTATAAAAAACTATAGGCATATTTTTAAGTTAAGTATGTAAGTAAAAGACAACAAAACAACTCTAAACCTAGGCCACATGTGTTAATATACCTACTGGCATTTGATAAAAGTTTGAAAAACTCCCTTTAGAAAAAACCTTAAAATGACAATAAATGAGGCTAGATATTATTAGGCCTACTAGCCAACACACGAGACTAATTCACAAGCTAAAACTAATGCTAGCTAAAGAGACTGTTAGCAAGCAGTTAAAATGGGCTCGCTTACTCACTTAGTCGTTTATTTTAACATAATCTGTTCATTTTATATTACACATGCAGGTCTCACAGCAGCCACTACAAGTTTTACCAGACTTATTTAAGTGTTTGCATTCATTTTTCTCCTGCTTTCATCAAATCTCCACAGTGAATCCAAGCCTAGCTCTGAGGAAAGCCATGAAACAGCATGGTATGTTTTCAAATTATTGTTCATTATCGTCAATTACTATTTTATAATAGTTACTTACTGAAAGTAAAATGTTTGTCACATGAATCCGAAACTTACCAAGCTCCCCCTCTCTGAATGTTTTTCATTCCTTAGATTATCTCATTTGCATGCAGTCCGTCTGTCTGTCTGTCTGTCTTCAGTGTCTCCTCTTAACTGCTTGATTGTGTGCTATGGGCCGATTTGATGTCAGGTTGCGGTAGGCTAACCACTCGTGTAATTGCAATAATGCACTTCGAAATGCAATTTCTCCCTTCATTTAGTTTCAGAGTAGGTAGGCCTACTTAACCGTATGGCCACAAGAGAGCGCCATTAGCTAATCAATTGGCAGCCTTAAACTGACTGATGTTTTCTGACTCTAGGCTTTTACTGGACCATTCATGCTTGTTAGACCAGGTTAAGATGTACCCTCGCATCATTACCCAGTGTCATGGAGCTATTACTGCTATACAGTCATGGATTTCAGCTGGGAGGCAAGGTGCGGCACAGCAAGTCCAAACTTGATCATGAGATCAAGCATGAAATGTGTCAGGAGAGCATCTAAAAAAACAATCAATGGAGAATGTTTACTCAAATAATGAATCCCATATTATATATTTAATATGTTGTCAACCATCAATCATGGCTCCAGTCTGATAAGGTATGTCTGACATTTTGAAATGTCCAAACAGGGTTCACGGTTTAATAAATCAACTCCCAGACTTGTTTTTATATCTAATCTCCCCAATCTAATAAAAAAATGTGATCCATTTCGCCTATCAAACAGACACACAGAAGTACATTTCTTCAAACAATTAATCTTTAATAGCACAATTATACAATACAATCAACATGCCCTCTCCAAACTGTACTTTTATGTTTCACAGATGATATCTCTGGATAATCTATTTACAATTTTATGGCACAGACTATAAGCAGTTGTGATTGTAGCTGATGAGTTAGGACGAGGGGTTGAATATGTGGCGGCTCATAAAGGTAAAAGGAGCAGAGGCAGGGTGGTCATTTTGTGGAGGAGGGTATGATGGTAGAGGTCAGAATGTCAGCAGGGCAGCAGCGAGGTTGAGCCAACACTGATGAAAGCATCACCACATTGATGGGTCATATCTGGAGAGAGAATCAAAGTGCAAGGTTAGATTAATGTTACATCATCATAGAGCTGTACACTTACAGTTTTACACACACCTCGACTGTGGGAGCGTGTCTGTGCTTTCCTTCAACAGCAGCTCTGAGACCAGTGTGTCCAGAATCTCAGGACTGGACCTCTTTCCATACCTGAGACACAGAAAAAGAACAGACAGATAATGAAATGGCTTTGCTGTGACATTGACCTTTTAGCTGATGACATATTCAAAAAACATCACAGATTAAAATTTATTTATCTGCTTGTCATGAATGTATAAGTCAGTTAATATTGAACCGAGTAACACTGAGACCCTGCAGGGCCAGAGAGGAGTTGCATAGCAGGGGGCCACATTTCATTTTCGGTGCCTCAGATGATAAGCTGTGTCGGCGCGCTTGTGCCCCCTAGGTGGCTAAACGCCTGCAGCTGGCATTCAAGCCACTGACATTCAGAAGAAAGCTGAAAACAGTGGGGGATTGGACCCGCCATGCAGTCACAGTCACTTCTTGATAGCTTGTTTTTTGTGTGGTAAAAGGGCAGCGGGTGTTCCCTGTTCAGTGCAGCCAAACCACGACCCCAACATACGAAACTTTAGGGCTTTTCTTTTCACACCTTGTTTGTTTGAGGTCAAATCATTTGGGCTTTATCTCAAAATTAACCTATACATCAAAATCATAACTGATAAGTCTCACATGTTGTGGAAAGTTTCCTTTTTAAGACCTAAATCTGAGCGCAGACACAATTTGACATGTTTTCTGTGAAATCCACTGAGACAAATATAACATTTGTGATATTGGGCTATATAAATAAACATTGATTGATTCTGTGAATCCTTGCAGTCATGATAATGATTAACCGGCCAAAATGAAAACCTATGTACATGGACATTGCCCACAATTAAGGGCTATTAGGAAAAATGGCTCACAATAGAATATACTAAAGCATCACTAACAAACAAGCATATTTTATCTTAAAGTAGTCATCTCATTATATTCAGTGGTGCACATTTTTAGAATTAGACATAATATAATTAAATATAATACAATAGGACAAGAATGGCCAATCCAGTCAGAGAAAGTGCTCGTGGTAATAACTCCAGCTCTATTAATGAAAGCAAAGAGGTGAAATTAGTCCGCCTACCTCTGTCTTGTGATGAGGTTGATGTAGTGTCTCAGGGCTGAGTAGTACTTGGCCAGCTCATCCGCCGGGGCGTCCTCCCCGGGGTTCTCCGGTTTCATCGGGTACCCCTCCGTCAGGGCGCCCAGGCACAGCAGCGCCCACAGCAGGAAGCCCAGAGTCCCCAGCCAGCTCACCAAGTTAGGATGCATCTGACAGAGAAATACAAAAACAACCGTAAAACTGTTAGTCCCTCACTGGCCACTTGTTTCACTGTGCGTAAAAGTTCCCCTTTCCGTTTTTAAATAATGCCTTATTGATATCAATAACTGAAGATTCAACGCTAGAGCCTTAAGAATGTAATAGGTAGAAGAAAAACAAAAATAAACATGCCCACATTATTGGTAATAGATTTTCAATAATAATGCAGCTACAAAACAACCATCAAAAGTCATGTCGAAAGACTTTGAGTAAATTTCACAACAGAAATATAAAAGGTTTTGTAAATCAAGTATTAAGGCACTTACTTTGCCTAGAGTTTTGAGGAATGTTCTCGCGTTGTCCTGAGGCTCTCTTCTGCTCTTCTGGGTGCTTGGTGCGCGCTCGGTTTTATATCTGTGTGCGGCACACGCGGTGCAGAAAAACGCGTCAGAGCTGCGTTCAGCACGAGTCTTTCTTCACGTGAACGTCACCGGTGATGCTGTCATTAGGGTGCTTTAAAATAAAGCTGTTTACACACATTTAATACACGTAAAGTAACTATGTATACTAAAAATAGAATCAGTTAATAACCCTTTTCTGCAACCATTCAATAGAGATTAGTTAGGGAGTCCTTTTTAAAGAATGTGACCAATAACATTTAAGGATATCAAACAGATTAAAACCCAATATATTTTTGCAGCAATGATATTATAACCCATTTGATGAGTTCACTACAAAGTCACTGTTGAGCACTGATACACTATATTTCATTTGTAAATGTTAATGTATTGTTCATGTAATATTATATATGTGTGTGTGTGCATTTGGCACATACAGCCCCTCTTAAAATATGTGGCATTCATACACACACACACACACACACACACACACACACACACACACACACACACACACACACACACACACACACACACACACACACACACACACACACACACAAACTGCCAAGCAGATTGATTCACACATGCTGAGTTTGATGTTTGGGTGTTTATGAAGCTTCTCTATGAAGGAAGGTGATAAATGATTTCACAATCAAGTAGTGATTCTTCTTCATAATGAAATCAATAATCCCATCTGAAGTCACACAAAAAAAATGGCGGTGATGTGACTCCGTGGGCGAACATCAAATGAATCGTTCTGAGCCTACCAAAGGATGCTTCAATGAGGACGCTTTGGGTGATCTGGAATAAACAAGATCTCAGAAAGACTCACATATAGATGAGCCCTTTTTATTCTGTTCGACTGAATCAGTCTAATTTCGCTTTGCAGTTCATTCCATCTGGAAAGAGAGACTGGGACACTCAACGTGAACAAAAGGCCTAAATATGAATCAAGTCACGTCAGTCAAAGAAGAGCCCAATCTCCCACTTAATAATAAAAAAAAAAAGCACTTTAAATGAATATCACCAAGTGCTTCATTTACTTCCTATTCATGAACCTTTTGTATACTGGCTCGGAGCCATATAATCTATCAAAACCTCGTATTCTTCATCACTGCTGCTTTTTAAGTTGCGACGAGGATGCGTTAAGGGCTTTTTGTGTTACACAGGATGTTGAGAGGGAGATGAGGAATGAGACACGAGTGTGAGAACATGGAGCACAAAGTCATGACCGAATCATGATGATCGCAGGCAGGATTCAGAACTTCTAGTCCTCTTCAGGGGATACTCACTCTCAGTGGCTCACTTCAATAGGTATAACACCTTTTTCAAGGAAACAGCTTGTGTCTGCAAGTGTCTGACATGTGAATGAAGAAGATGTATAAAGCATGTAGACTAAGTTAAGAGGTTAGTAAATGTTTGCTTAAACATCAGAGTGCATGACTAAACTCAATAAAATAATCCCGGAAAGATGCTCAGTGTTTAAGAGATGACAATTTATAATTTGGCCAAATGATTATCCTTTGAATGCAAAAGTAATGTATATTTGAAGCAGGAAAATCTAAGATGGAAGAGGCTAGTTAAGGTAAGCTAAGAACAAGCAACACTAGGAGTGTTTGGTCATGATAGCAGCTTTTTGAGGCTGTGCTTACAGCAGTGCCTTGAGCTAAATGCTAACAGTATCTTGGCAACATGCTCAAAATGAGTGCCCGATGCTTATTAAGTAACACGGGGTGACTAATGCTGGCATGTTGATGTCAAGCAGACAAGCGATGATGTTATCCATGGTCCCCATTTTAGATTAGAATTTAGAAATGAGCTAATTAGTACTAACTAAGTACAGCTGAGGTAGATGGCAATGCCCTTCATTAAGCAGGTATTTGGACATAAACTAAATGTAACTGTTGGCCTGCTGATGGCATTAAAAAAAACGTAGACGATAATCAAAGTTATTAAAGTTAATAATGAAGGAAACAAGAATGCAGAAGTGGAGATACTGGAGACTGGGGGCAATTCTCACAACTTGTATTTATGATGGCACTACTAAAAACCTCACTCGAAATGTTTACCAGATAATGGGTTCTGTGTTTAACTTCTTACCAATCAAGTGTTTTTACAAGCAATGTTATAGTTACAATATTGATTGACAAATTATAACTCAAATGTTACATCTGCTTCCTCAAACAGGGACAATTGTAACGGCAAATGGGAAAAATTGTAAAAGCACACCTAATCCTTTCATTTAAATATCAAGGCCAACAATTAACTCCAAATAATTCAGACACAGTTCAATGATTTAATATTCATTGAACAATTAATTGCTTTCATTCATCAAATCCATGTGGGGGATGTATTTTAACTTTTTGAACAGCACACATCTTTTCCAGTCAAACAGCTTTTAGAAAATCAGAAAGGGAAGTAGATGACAAATAATGAACACGGGAAGAAATAACTCTTGATGTCAGTGCTGCTACTACAGATGAAACATTTTAACTTATCATCAATGGATCACCACCTTCATTGTGGGACATAAGGGATATTTCCTTCAATGCATTTTACAGCGACAGCCATTAGTGACTCAAGGTGGGTCGGTACCACTTTACAATAAGACTACCCTTATAAAGGATTCATAAAGGGTTTATAATTATGTTATGAATTAGGTTGTAAACATTTTATTAATCATTAAGAACCATTTATAAACCAGTTCTAACATAGTTTTCAAACATCAACACAGGCTCACTATTTGGCAAGATGACTAAGCCTTATATTGGCTACTTAGCGAGAATCAACTGAGTGAACAACAGATACCAAGGATGCTGGCTGATGAAGAAGACGAAGTAAGCTAGGTAGCCAATATAAGACTTAGCAGTACAGATAAATGTGGGCCCACTATTTGGCAAGCAACCGGTCACAGTTGCCCTGTTTATCTCATGTCTTATAAAAGCTTAACTTAATTAATAAATGAATTAAAAACTATTCGTAAACCGGTGGGTCTTACCCTTTGAAGCTCACATTGATATTCTGTTAAACATATGCAAACTAATAAAAGGTAATTAACACATTAAAGTCAGCACCATGTAGTTGGAAGATGGTTTCCCTAAGGCATTTTATTTGGTTGTTTGCAGTTTTATTACCAGTGCACATACAGTGGATTGATTCAGTCTCAGCCTGTATTCTATTATTGAGGAAGAAGCTCCTGTATAGACCAAAGGCAGATGTGACAGGTGCATATGGAGTTCAGGGCAATTATGGTCATTAATTTTGGTCAACATCAACCCTAACAATCAATGCTATTAAAAAGAGCGCTGCCAATCATCTCCACTACAGTCACGGTTTTTTATGCTAACTAGACCAATTGAAATACTTACAATTAATGTAACAATGATGCCTCTCCAATGGTAGCACCTTCAAGACACGATAAAGTAAGATAAACCAATTAATCCCAATAGGGAAATTCAGAGAAGCAATAGCATAAGAGTGGGATACAGGTAAGAGTTCAGACCACAAGGATGACAAGAATAAAACATGAAAAAAACAAGGACAATAGGATTAATTAAAACTAGGTAAATGCTGCCTACGGGAGGTATTTTTTTCCTGAACTTTATTCACCGTAACCAGAAATAATTTCAGTAAAGAATGAGTGCTTAAGAGAGCGAGCTGTTTAAATGCAAATGTGTTTCTCCCTCCTCCCGTCAGGCGCCTGGTTTGGACAAGAAGTTCTCTTTCAAGATTTGTTAAGATGAAAAGGCCTGTAATTTTCTGCTGCTGTGAGTTTCAATTTTCACAACTGTTAAAGAAAATACCGACAAGAAGGGTGCTCTATCAGGCAAGCTACAGAAAACTGACTGGGAGAAACAAGTGAGAAAAGGCAGAATCTTGTGCTTCTTTAGTGCTCACTTTGCCATAACACCTCTTATATACAGACGTCTGACATGTAAATTGCTGCTTCTACCACGCTATTGTGCTATGGTGACAATGTGTTACCTCTGGTAAGCAAGCACTACTATTACTAAGAGCATCGGCAGCTCCATGTATGGAAACGTGGGCTGAAACTACAAATGGTTATTCAAGGTTTTTATATAAGGTTCATATTGTCATTTTAAGGGATATTGTCATTGTTTAAATCAACTGAAATTACAATTTTACCAAACTTTATTAAAGAAAACATGTTTTTTGAGCTAAGTTGCTTCGTCAAATCACATCTTTTAGATTGCATTACTGATTCAACGTCATTTGCATAAATTATAACTATAATTGGCTTGTTTTTACAGAATTGGTCTTCAACCCAACGAGTGTAATTTCTGCTACCCACTTCGCTGAACCGTTTGCTATCAAGGAGAGCAATTCCCTAAATTGCTCTCCTTTGTTTTGGATTTGACATTAGTTGACAGCCTTCAAAAGCAATTACTGAGCCTTATGAAATCTCGGAGAGCTCAAGCTTCTTTCCACTCTCAGTTCAGAGAAAGACACATACTGACAACTGCTAAATGAGGAAAAAACAAGAATTGATTTCCTTTGTCATCGTCTCTTTTATACTGTTATTGCTCTAATTAAGCCCCGTCTTATCTGGTGTAATAGCGTACCTGTTTTTATCTCTTCTCTCAATACCCCTTTCCTTTTTCTGTGATCTGTGTGTCTGTCTCTGTGTTTGTGTAAATGTGTCGTTGCCACATCTGCTCCTGGGGAGAATGTGACATCATATAAGGTCTTGTGACTGACAGATGAACAAAAGGTGAGCCACCACGCCACGACAGGTTGACTTGGCTCAGGTGTGTGCAGGTCATAGTACTGAGACCCTGATACAAGGAAACCTGATTAAAGTTGTTACTATGTCAAAGGCCACTAAGCTTTAGTTAAATAACTCCTGTGACCTATGTGAGACCAAAATAGTCTGGATGTATCACTGTGATGTCAGGTAGTCTGCGTGTTTATCGAACCTGAAAGACATTTAATATTCATAAACATAAAATCAGATGCTAATCAAGCTCATAAAAGTGTTGTCTATCAGTAACATATCCTGGATACCTTTTAATGTTTTTATTCAGTGTTTTTTTGCAATAGGAGGTTCAAGGTTTTTTATTTGTCATATGAACATAGCTACAGTGTAGTTATGACGATGAACATCTTAGGTCACAGGCTCCTCCAACAGTGCAACACAATAACACAGATAAACAGAAAAATATAGTGCCAGTAAATAGTAAATACAACAAGAAAAATAGTTTGAAAGAGTGCAATAAGAGTCTATATGCAAGTTATTGGAATATGATATATTAGAATTAAATAGATACATTATTTCTAAGTAGCAGCCAGATGAATGTTATGGATGTTGTTTCAACAGTTCAGGTGTTTAACAGTCTTATTACCTGTGGGATGAAACTGTCCCTGAGTCTGGTGGTTTTAGTCCGGATGCTGCCGTAGCGCCTGCCAGACGGCAGCAGGCAGAACAGTTTGTGGCTGGGGTGATGGGGATCTTTTATAATCCTGAGGGCTTTCTTTCTGAGCCGCTGGGAGTAAAGGTCCTCCATGGATGGCAGCTCCGTCCTGGTGATGTTCTGTGCAGTTTTCACCACCCTCTGTAAAGCCTTACGATTGAGGGCGGTGCAGCTGCCGTACCAGGCCGTGATACAGCCAGTCAGGATCCTCTCTATGGTGCACCTGTAGAAGTTGCAGAGTATCCTGGAGTCCATGTTGAACCTCCTCAGCCTGCAGAGGAAGAAGAGCCGCTGTCGAGCTTTTTTGGTGATGGTGGTGGTGTGAAGAGTCCTTGGCAGGTCCTCAGTGATGTGGACACCGAGGAACATGCATATAAAGGATGCATTGCTTTAGATTAATCTAATATTTGTAAATTAAGGAAATCCTCCAGTAAACAATAACAGTTTCCTAAAAACTACACAATCAGTGTTTAATTGCTTAGCCTACTGTTATAGCAGTTTTTATTTAAGAAGTAGGTCTTAATCTACAAAATGCAAGAAGGAAAAAAACCTCAAGATACTTAAATGTTTAATAGGGAATTAATGTAATTGAACACAAGGCAAGTGAAGGATGTCACGATGCCCAAATTACGTCACCGTTTTGGTTTAACATTTTAAAATGTCTGCTGAATAACATTTTGACAGCACTTTTTCAGCTATTTAGCATACTCAAACTCTGAAAAGTAAATTTGATAACCACCCAGCCAGGTTAAATGTATTGCCAACATCGTAGAAAGCATGCTAGATGCATTCCCCGACAGAGGAGCCCGATAATGGAGGGGAAATGTATGATTTAAGCAGTCCAGCTAATGCATTAGAAAGCTGTTAAAAGCATTGATTCTCAAGAGTGTGCCACATGAATAAAGGAACACATGTTTCCACATGGCTGTCAATCAGCCGTTGAGTGTGTTCAAATACTTATTCTGCAAATGAAAAAACATTTCCAAATGTAATGTTATTATTCATGTGCATAATGCTGAATTTCTGTGAGCACGAGCAGTTGCACTCAAGGAGCACACTACACTCATACTGAAGATACAGCTAGATACATTTGAAAAGCTAGTGCAGAAAGGTTATTAGGAGGATGGCACATTTCAAGTTATCCTTTAAGACAAGGTCAAAAATTAGGCTGAGTCTTGAGACAAGAAGGCTATCTTGAGACAAGAAGGCTATTAAACAAATAGATTTATGACCATCCTTTTCGGCATAACAACCAGGCTGCAAAGCTTATTGCATTCTGCATAGTGTACAATAAAACAGCAAATGGTGTGTCGCTTAAAATGTTGTAGAAGCATCGGATTTTGGGACAGTATTCTCAGCTCTCTTTTGGTAAAGGATGGTCTTGTGTACCCTATACTAAAGGATAAACAAAAGGATGCTTTGTAGCACTCCGTTAGAAAACCTTACTTAGCCAAAAAGACTAATCGACCGTAGCCGAGGTCCAATATGCATGGGTAATTAAAAGATCTAACTGATGGGTGTGAAAGGATGCTCTTAAACGTAGAACACAGAAAGCTGTTTTATGGATTGTTTGACCCTCTCCTGAATAACATAATAATAACTTCATTTATGTCACAGCTTATTGTCTGGAAACCCTACTACCCTTCGTACTTGACTTGGTACTTTAAAATAATGACAACTTATACCCCCTTTCACTAGTGCCTTATGAGTGGCACTGATAACACTGCTTTTTACAAACAGGAATTATTAGTAGAAATACATCTCTGTCAAACAAACAGTTTGCCATGTTTGTTCCTGCTCCTCTCTGATGTGTGTATCTGTGTGAGTATGTTATTTGGCTGCATGTGTTTTAAACACACTCTTTAGCCTAACATTACTATTGATTTAACCAAGCTGTACAGCATCCCATTCTGTTTGTTATCAATTTGCTTTGTGAAAAAGCCAAATCTATTTCTCACGACTCGCTCTCCAACCCCCTCTCGGAGTCTGTCGGCACCGGAGGGGATTGAAGCAGAGCGTCTCTGAAGTCGCTACACTGTCAATTCCCACTGTTTCTACCACAAAAGAGAGGCAGCACATACACATGTCCAATGTGTCAAAGTCATACGTAGGATTATGCTTCGCTTTTAGGAGTTTGTGATGGGTTTTTTGTTCTTCTTAGAAACAGAACAAGCTGTATTTTGTTCGAGTAAGCTCTGTCTTAAATAGCAAAAAGGCTGATTCTTCTGTTGATCATAAGAGGGTACTTGGAGGAATAAGAATATTCTAAAACTGTGAACATCGGAGTTGATGATGTTTGGAAAAAGCATGGGGGTCCAAAACCCGAAAGATTTGCAACTACAGAAAGCTGTTTGGAATACACCTAAAGAAATGCAAAGGCTGCTCATATAAGTAGGCCTAGGTAATGGTGTTTGACAAATAAATAAATTCTGCTTCCAACTGACTATTCGAGAGTTTAGTGCAGCCAGTGAGAACGTTTTCCGACGAGGTGGAGAGAACAGACGTTGATCTGTAGATCTGAGGGACCAAGCTGTTCTGTATGAGGATAGATTTTCTGAAATATACCTCGAGGTGAGATCATACAGGGTTTTAAATACAAACAGAGAAATCTTGTAGGGAATTCGATACAGAACGGGGAGCCAGTGCAAAGAAGCCTGTACAGGCATAATATGTTTCCTGTTGCTTTTTCAGGTTTGTTTAGGAGTCTGGCAGCGTACCAGTTGTTGCCTGGCTGAAGCCAAACTAAAGAAAGTTGCAATGATCGACCCTTAATAAGGATATTAGAGCATGGATACGTTGTTTTAAATCTTGAGGTGATAATGAGGTCCTTATCTTGGATCCTTATCTATGTGCTGGGCTGGTGGGTTAGTCAGCCCCATTGTCTATCTATTCACTTTCTTTTAGCTCTGTTTTGGGTCTCCACCACCTACCAATGGACTGGTTCGGCTATTTTACTGCCAAATGCCATGCTACGTTAACTAGCTAGCCCGCTGATCTCTACTGCCTAATGTTTTGGTCTCAGCAGTAGATTTGCAAGCCTAAAATAAGTAATTGAATCGACTCCCACGCCATTTGTTTTAGCTTTCACATCCACATGGACTAAAGTATGTTTATGAAGTTGTAAATATTTTTTGCCTTTTGGAAATCTTAAAACTTTCTTTTCTTCTCTGAGAAGTATCTGGTTTACAGTTTGATGTGATTTGTCAGTAACTATCAGTCTCTAGTGATTGTCTGTGCACCTGAGTATTTGTTACCTCTCTCTCTGTCTTTGGGGAAATTAGGGAAGTGTGTTATTTGTTTCAGTGTGTGCTAGCGGTAAATATCACTGGGGTGATTAAGTGTATCATTGCGCAGTAATTGCCAATTTATTCTTCTGTGTTTGTGTCCTGATTCGTAGTGTCTCATCTGTCAGTCAAGCTGGGCGTGGTTTCCATGGGGATAAGGGAAGTGGAGTAGCCATTCTCTTCAACCTATGGTCAAAGTAAATTACCTGCAGTCTCCAAAGTTGCTATGGAGAGGCAATCACCCTAAATTGTAATGTGCCAGACTAATTTGTCAGGCCTTTACCTCTTAAATTGATTGGGTTTTTCTCTCTGAGAAAACATTTCCAAGGTAAGCAGTAGAAACAGCTCAAGTGTTTTTAAAGCATGCTTGATTCTAGAAGTCAATAAAGCTCTTTTTGGTATTGGAGGGGGAACATGATTGGTTAAAAGTGAGTATGCGACTGCATACTTTATCTTCCAGCAACCTGATGCCATGGTCATTGTAAATGAATCTGAAGTGTCGGCGTTCAGATGGGACCCGTTCCACTTTTTTCCTCTTCAGAACCCATCTGCATGCAGAGACCCAGGTGCATCAATGCCAGCCTTCTGACGTAGCCCTACTTGCTTTCCCTCAACACCACCTGTTCAACTCAGTAACATACACACAAACACCAAGTTCCCTCAGGTAGGTAGGTTTACACAGGTCACTTGATATGAACTGGTCTGCAACAGTGTAGATGCTGATCCAGTTTGACTTGTCGTCCTCACAGTGGAAATATTTGAGTGGGAGTACATTTAAATTTTTCTCTGTTCTTCGTTAAAGACATTAGAAAGTGGGCCGCCAATGGAGAAAACATGACCTGCTTCATCTCCATTTACTGCGAGGATTAAATCAGCTCTCATCACTGCTGATCTACCGTGAGAAATTGGATTAATCAATTGAATACAGTACATCGCTCTGTAAATGAAAAAAGGACGCTCATCACTGAACACATAGATGTATGGTTCCGGTGTTATTTTGGTGACATGGTGAGTGGGCGGCTTTCTTTCAGCAAGAGAACATCAATCACACAAACCTCAGATGTGTAAAATGACCGGTTTTTGGAATGTGTATTAAGAGAGAAATACAAAGCGTTGCTAAACAAAATTGAATCAATAAAATATAGGTTAGTTTGATATCAAATATGAAATACATGTTTCTTTATTGAACCGTGTATAACCTTTTATAGATACAGTTTAGTAATTTAATTAATTAAGCCTGAAAATTAAAAGGTTTAAAAGAAGATTTACAAAAACACAGATGTTTTATCTTTGTTGTTATTTTTGGCTGATTAGACCTCTGCTATGGTTGAAGGTAAATGGAGCTAATATATGAGGTCACCAATCTACACAGTAATAACAATGATAAAGGTTTAATTAACCCTGCACTTACAGGTGCAAAAATAAGATTCTGTAAGATCTCAATCAATTGCAGTCAAGCCCACAGTCCTGGAAAGAGGTCCAATCAGGCAGGTTAACTGGAAACATCTGTATGTTTTGGTTAGCAATCAGGGAAGCTAATACCATGATGAAGACTTGTAGCTTTAAAGCGTTTTGGTCAACCATGTATCAATGATTGATATTTAACGTACAATCAGGATAATCACATGCTTTACAGAAGGCTAACCAAACTAGAAACTTTCAACAAAAGTACATTTTTTTAATTCTTACGCGACTACTAATTCAGGTGGTTCACTGTGACCTTACATCTGTCTAATGACTCAAGGATTAACTGTTTAAAATTTGGTGAACAATGATCAAGGTAACTTTGACCCCACAGAAACTGATTTGGCCAAAACGTAAGAATTCATATACAAAATATGAACATTTCACACAAATGTCTAATAGATTATAGTGATTACATGTTGGATGTACTGTAAACTGCAACTTGACAGGCAAGCTGAGGAATACTACAGCAGCTTTTTTTTACATTCAAATGTTATTTTTAATCCTTAATATCATATGCTTACTGTTAATCTCACAGATACACATGTGAGTTTAAGCATGGTATTTCTGCAGCTTACAAGGAAGCCAACATTTATAAACATTACACAGATAAGATCTCCACATGAAGCTTTACATCCACATGTGATAAATCCACCATTATTTCACCTTGTATCTGAAAGTATTTAGGCTCTGTCAAACTGTATTGTCTAAAACATGTTCATGGATAACTGTGTCACGCGTCTGAATGTGAACCAGTGAAGCTCCACACACATGGGATCAATATGTTGTCAGTTGATTATTCAGTTCTGAGATGGGATTTAATCACGACTGTTACTCATGGTGGTTTTATGCCCCAGTGTCACGACACCGACAAAGACAGACACTTCACTGCAAAAGAAAATAGTTCAAACAAACAAAATGTCCTTAAGATTTAGAAAAAAACGTAATATTACAGATCAGAAGATGTGTATGATTTATTTGTTAAGATTAATATTGTCCAGTGTTTAATGACGGTTTCACAAATGGACTTTGAGGAGAGTTGCATTTCAATGTTTGTTGGTCTCTCTCTTACAGTCAATAGAGCCGGATGCTTCTGTAGACGTTTTTTTCATCCTTGAGGCAGCGCAGCTCTGCTGGCAGCCATCTTCTCTTTCTCAATCTGAAAACCATACAGCATAGACTATGAAAATTGTGTGATGATGAGTACCAGCAGCGGATGATGTGTACCTCACAGGTATGTTTTGTGTATTTACGGCACAAGATCTGAAGGAAAGATGTTGCTTAAGGTTAAAGATTGTATTTAATCTGCAGTGCCTGATGAATATAAAACTCTATCATAAATAAAATCAACCATCCCAATTATTGATCAAATCATACATTGCATTATAACTTTAACATGAGATTGGTAAGCTCTTAGGTCCGCTGTGTGAGGTAAGTAGATGTAAACATTGTCGAGTAATAAGTCAAAAGCTAATTCTATCAAGCATAACAACATATTACATTATTAATAACATTTCGAACGTTTTCAGATAAAAATTACCTCTCAAAAAGTTGTCTTCCAAGCTTAACTCAGCATGCCAAACAGCCATTGATTACATGATTACATCATCTAAATGTTCTGCTTACATCTACATTCACGTGATAGGGAGCTTTGTGTGATTCATTGTACTGAAGATACGTCAACAATGAAGAAAATCTTAATTAATCTCACAACATGAAAGGCATGAATTGTTGCGTCCCCCACAGATACTGTAGAAATGTAATGGGAATGCTATACACTTTTGACCTGAACAGATCTCGACTCTGCACACTTCAACACTGATAATGTGCTGCTCTTTGCTGCCCTCACATGACTCTTAAAGGAACTTTTATTTACAGTTACTACTATCCATCAATCAAATCTCCATAATGCTCTACCATTTAAGCAAAGGATGGATCACCAAAACACTGACTCCACTGACAACAAATAAAATGAATCTCAAAAATGACTGCTATCTGTTCTAGCTATAGGGCATATCGTCACTACAAATGCATGGAATGTTGTTCCAGACTAACCAAGGAGCAAAGAGTAGAGACGTCTCACAAAGTAAGCATACACAAGTTTACAAATGGGTCGATGGATTTACATTGCACATCAAATTAATACATATACTGGTAGGCTTTCTACCTGAGCCACTGGCTTCCAAAGCGAGGTAACCATCCAACAAGGAGCTGAACCCCGTTAGCCCCCCCATGGCAGCATAAGGGACATCCTTGCCTATTGGCTGACCACGAGCCTCCCTCTCTAGTTTTGTCTCAACCTGCAAAAAGGGATTTGAGTTCAAGGTGTAAAACTTTATGACTGTGGACAAATGGTAACACTATTGAAAATATACAAAGCACTTTTTTTTAGGTGTTACTGATGACAACTCTACTCACTAGGGTCTGATGGGCAGGACTAGGCTGGCCACACCCACAGGTGTATGAGCTGTACTTGAACCCAGAACAGGAACTACCTGAAAAACATTTTTGACAGATGCTTAGAGGTAACTTGGGCTAGAATGAAACAGCTTCTGTCTTCAAATGTTGATTTTAAACTCACATTTCTTGCAGAAGAAATGGTCAGAAGCTTCACTGTGATCCTGAGGAAAGTGTTTACACCTGCAGCGGACAGGATTTGGCCCAATCTGAGGAACATACTGGTAAGCAGAACAACGACATCCTCTGACCTGGCATGGCAGGGCCAGGGGTCGCTCAGAGGGAACCACCTCAAAGTCAGTCATATGTTGCTTGTACCTGGAAAAAAATGATATTATTCATAAATGTCTTTATTTATATTTGCCTTTATGTGCAGTTGGGGGAAGGCCGTTTGATTTCTTGTGTAATGTATTACCTATGTGTGCAGAAGCACTGAGTCTCAGGACCAATTTGTTTGCAGTCGATACCTCCTGGAACCCCAAAGCTCACATACAGCCTGTTTTTCAGCCGTTGAGGGAGCACTTTCCTCTTGTACTCCTCGTACTCCTCTGGAGTGAACAGTCTCCCTCCATCATCGTCACCTACAATCCTTGAAGAGACAGTTAAAACAGTTAAGACTCTGGTTTATAACCAGTGTTGGAAGAAGTACTCAGATTCTTTACTTAAGTACAAATGCTATGGTCTAAAAATACTCCACAAGTCAAAGTCCTGATTTCAAAACTTTACTTCACTTAAAGTACAAAAGTAATAGCATCAAAATGTACTTAAAGCACCAAAGGTAAAAGTACTCATTCTAAACAATGACCCAATTCAGAATCATATTATATATTATAAGTATTATCAGCTGAATGTACTCGTTAGTAACAAACATGAAAGTGATTATGCAGAATGGATCATTTCATATTATTATATTTGTATTATTAATGATATTACCCTGTTTTTATACATGTAAAAGCATTTTAATTGTGTAGTTTGTCGATGTGCCTCATTTGTATAAAGTAATTGTGAGTGTAGAATTATACAAAGTTAAGATCTTAAGTGTAGCAGAGTAGAAGTATAGAGTAGCTGTATATGGAAATACTCAAGTAAAGTACAAATATGTCAAAATAGTACTTAAGTCCAGTATCTAGAACAGGGGTCGGCAACAAGCGGACCGCGGTCCGGATCCGGACCCAGACGCCGACCCGGACCTATAATCAATTCATTAATAGGGGATTTCAATTTTGACGGGGCGATTCTATTTTAACCGCTGCCGACAGGGGGCGAAAGAGACGAGTGAGCGATACAGGGAGAGAAACACAGAAGAAGAGATGAGACAGCGGTAGAGAGAAGCGGAGAGGAAAGTGAGTGAAGAGAATAATTAGCGATACAGGGAGAGAAGCGGAGAGGAGAGTGAACAGGCGTGTTAGCGGCAGACAGGGAGAGACAAATAATTACACATAGCGCTCTCCAAGAAGAGGAAAGTGGACAGTGAGAACAGGGCTTTTAGCCCTGAGTGGACGGACTCATTCATGTTCATCCTGCCCACTGGAAGCACAGAGCCAGTGTGTCTCATTTGTTCAGAGACTGTGGTGCTCATTAAAAGGGCCAAAACGCCACTATGAGACAAAACATTAAGAACATATACTTTCCACCACTGTTGATAACTTACAATTACAATGAGCTGACCTGCCTACAACAAAGGCTCATATTGTTATCTTAACAGTTGAATTGTTCTTTATCTGTAACAGGTAGCATTAGGTTTGTCATGCTATCAGTTTGCAGTGTATGAAACCCCTGTAAAGATTAGTCAGGAACAAAAGCATACAGTGTAACGTTAAGACTAACCTCCTGTATTCACAGTAGTCTTCCACTGCTTGTAAACCTGATTCATCGACTGAAATTCTCTCCATTGTCAAAAATGATAGCTTTGGATTTAAGTCTGGCACAGCAACAACTACTCTGTTTACTACATTAGTTGCCATGGAAATGTCTGTAGGTGTCCCTCTAACGGTCTCAAAGTAAATTGCAACACAGACACAAGGATAGAGAGATGCAGAGAACAGAAGAAAAGTCTGTACTATTACTTAATTAGAAGAAAGCTATCTAATTTAATGAGATATGTCGTGTAACTTCGCAAACATACTGAAAGCCATACTTATACAAACTTCAGTAGCTAATGTGTATTGGTCACTAACTATATAACCTGTCCTTTTTCTATTCAAGGACTTTTATTCAGTATTAAAAAAATCTGTAAAATAATATTTTAAAAGATAGGCCCTATTAAATATGTGTTAAATACACACACTTTGATTGCCTTTTTATAAAAAAAAATTGTGCTACTATTTTCTCTTAATTCTTTGTAAAAATGTTCAAAATTGGGTTTGGAGTCAGCCATTATCTTTTTATGAATAAAACAGATTACGTTTAGTTTAACAGTTTACATGTCCAGTACTTTTCGTTTCTACGTATTTTTTGCTTTCCTCATCTTGGATTAAATACAGAGCGAACAAGCAGTAGCAAAAAAAAACTACATTTCCCATAATGCCGTAGAAATGACGCAAGCCGTAAACGTTCGGGGGATCCATGACAGTCTGCACAGTCGCATGCTTAAAATTCTAGCTACCGACTTTTGCTTGCTAGGACCTTGTCGTTTTCGGGACAGTAAGAGAAGCCGAAATGACTGACAGTGTGAGCGGACACCTCAACATGAAGCTCGGCAGCTAACCTTATTACCGGAGACAGATATTCCTGCAGATATTTCCCCCAGCGACCACAACGACAGTCTGGATTGCCAAACAAAAAGCATCATTCAGTGTCAGCCAGAGGAAGCAGCTGGAGCTCAGGCGCATCGTCCCTGGTCATTCCTGCTAAAGGTAGCATCTCAGACAACGCACTGGGGTAAATAATCGATTTTTGGTGCAATTTGCGAATAATGCTTAGCCTTTGGGTTGAGTTGAAGCGTTGCGACCTAATATGTCGAGCTAAAATTAGAGTGGAGTCTGCAATAGCTTCAACTTAGCATGAGCTACTGCTTACATTTTTTTTTTTTTTTTAACTATGGTAGGTAGTAAAGCCTTGAACTGTATGCTAAAGTAGTCAATTTGTAATTTATGTCGATTACTCTTTTAGTTTACGTTTTAACAGTGGCGTAAACCAACCAAGTACATTTACTCAAGTACTCTACTTGAGGGGAAACAATGAGGTGATCTGCTTGAGTATTTTCATGTTCTGCTACTTTGTACTCTTTGTATCTACTACATTTTGTAGGCAAATATTACACTTCTTTCTTCACTACATTTAATTTACAGATTTAGTTACTTTGCAGATTTAGATTATTAATACAAAATATAAATGAACTAATACATTATTATATGTTTTACCCAGTAGTATGCAAAGTAAATAAAATAAACCCCACCTTTTGTTAAGTACATAATTGAAGTGATGAACACATTAATGCATCACTAACTATAATTCAATCATTTAAAAGATATGGTGCTTAAATGGGCCGTCCTGCATAACGAGTACTTTTACTTTTGGTACTTTAAGTATATTTTGATACATGTTATTTTACTTAAGTACTGTTTTAAATGCATTACTTGTATTTGTAACTGAGTATTTTTACACTGTAGTATTGTTACTTTTACTTAAGTTAACAATCTGAGTACTTCTTCCATCTCTGCTTATCACATGCATGTGTAACTTGATGTTGTGTTTTCATAATAGCAGGTTAGATTCAAGATTCAAATGCAAAACTACAGTTATGTATTGTATGAAAGACTTATCACAGGTTCCTCAACAGTGCAAGGTTAAAGTAAGTCAACATTTGCCAAGTTGTCAGTCTTTGGTGTTGTACTCTGTCAAAGTTGCAGTAGCATAGCTTACATAATATCTACTTCTTCATATTTATTTCCTCCCACACCCTAACATTGTTAACTTTATTGTTTTTACTTTATACTCTATACACTGATTCAATCTTGCCCAGTCGGCCATCTGGTGAAAGCCACGTGACAGCTGATGTGGTAACTATTTAACCCCTAGATAAGGTGTTTTGACTGACAATGTGTGCCTTATCAGTGTGAACCCTTCCATTATGTACACTATATCTAAACAGTTCTATAGTGGAAGTGGAACATTCATTGTCTGAAGCATTGGCCTAACTTGTGTCTTTCCATAGAACAATGATCGTGAATAGCCTGACATAAGACAGAATACCAAAACTCTTATAGATGTTATCAAGTGTCAACTTTAGGATTAAGCAAGAAAGGTGTGATCGTTTGCCAGACATCCAAAGGGCACAGAGAAAATGATTCTTGTTTATTTTCCTTGGGACTGAAATAGCTCACATAACTTTCTAGCATGGCACAGAAAAATCCCTCCAGCTTGAAATATTATAATATAATAAATATGATTTGAACCTGATGCTGCATGGTCCCTATGTCTCATCCATTGTTGTTTCATATAATCATATAACGAAAACAGATTTCTCCCTTTTAAAGTTTTATAGAATTCAGCTGCGTACTGGGACTAAAGAGGGTTCTAAAAGCTCTCATTATTTGTCACAATGTGTTTTGCTTCATCATCATCATGGCAGTTTCAACTGTTACTTTGATCATCTCTCCACACCTGGCTTTCTATTTCCTCTTTTGGCTGCTTATTCACAGTAACCTGCAGGGCATTGAAAGTGTGTGTGTGTGTGTGTGTGTGTGTGTGTGTGTGTGTGTGTGGATGCATTGCGGAACGTATTCTGTTACCTTTCTTTTCATAATGTATTCCCTCATTCACTGTCCCTTCTCTGACCTCCATAGGAAGTGACACAACAACACCCAAGAGAGGCAGTGGGGGGGATAATGAACTCTGTGACAAAGTTGCGAAAACTGACAAATGATAGCCTAATTCCCCCTGCATGTGCTCTCACAGCCTATTTGTCAGTCAAATACCCATTGTGGAGGTCGGATTAGGGACTGAATGCCCTCTGTGCCTCTCTCTGTTGCTGTGTCTCATACCTGGAGCTGCAAAGTGGGTCCCATGAACTCTAAACTGGTAATCAGGTTTCTGGGCTACAAACAACTGCTGATGAATGTGCTGTAGAGCCCCATGTCCCAGAGTGACAGAAAAAAATCTTAAAGAATTAATTATGTGGTGTCTGTTAGAAAATCTTGCATTTATCTACACAGAAATCTACCCAGGCGTTATGATAAATAACCACAATGCTCAACAGGGCTTTGAAGAAGCTACTGTAGTGCTACAGAAAATACCCTTTGAGTGTTTTTTGGTATATATTAGAATGTAATTATTTTCCATTTCATGATATTTCACAATGACAACTTGAAGCGGCAATCCTTAAGATTTCAGTCTTATCGAAATCATATCTACTAATTGTGAGAACAAATACTTAGTTCCCAAAATACTGTGGGCTCTGTGTGCAGACTCAAGATACGCAAGATAAAATCAGACCGCGTTTCTGGTGATTGTATCTTGCGTAGCCTTCAGATTGAAAGTGAAAGCAGTTGGTTACCTCCCTGGAGATTTCAAAGGTGTGTTTCCTGCTGTTCTTTAGCTAACAGCTTCATTGTGGTTGCTCACGCCTGTTGTGTTAACGCCCTGCAATATAGAACAGATACTCAAAATGACTACGTCTCCTGTGACTACTGTACTTCCAAATAAAAGTCAAGTTGTGTTAAGCCAGTTTATTGTAAAGCTGCAGCAGAATGATATGTGTTAGCAGTAGCCTAACACAGCATTTTCCCCTGGAATGTCCCCACAGTTTGTAATACTGCAAATATATAAATATTGCAATACTTTCATCTGTGGGTTAAAGGCTCAGTCACAATTGTGTTGCCACATTTGGCAATAGTGATTTAACAGGCATTTATTTAAACAAAAAAATGGTTGACTATTGTTTTCAAAATAATTCTTTGTTAAATAAATCTCTAAAAGATGGCAGTAACAATTGTCTTTATGTATTTATTTTCTTGCCGCTAATTGTATCTCTCCTGTCTTTCTTCTACTTTTCCCACACAGACAACAATGCCTGCGAACCTCCCGCCTCAACACCCATTCTGCATTGGTGACTTGTTGATAGACATCTTGCAACCAAAGCACCTTTCTACAAATCCCTGACTGCCTGTGTGGGTGTCCTCCCTTCTGGTTCTACTTCCTGTCCTCTGCTGTTGCTCAAACTTTCTCATCTCCTCTGAGGGGGGTGTGGGGGGGTGTGGGGGGGGGGGCAGGATGCCTTTTGTGGTTAGAGAAACTTCCGTTGCTGTACGGGTATAATGCAAGCACATATCCTGCTGGAGTTAACTTGAGGTAGGCACTGAATCCCGCTCTTGGAATGCTTTGCAGTGGACGTTGAGCACTGACCTCTGCAGATACACTGAGCTGAAAATAAAAATCTCCCTGCAGGAATAAAGCAATTATCCCCCTATCAAATTATTTGTACATCCACACCCGAAAAAAGACCTTCAGCCTCACACCGGGCCTCTGCAGCTCCGCTTCTCTCTCCCCAGTACCATGCTGGGTAGGAACATGTCTCAGAAGCTGAGTGTGCTGCTGATGGTATTCGGCCTGGCGTGGGGACTTATGCTGTTACGCTACACTGTGCAGCAGCCTCGCCATCAGAGCAGCGCCGAGCTACGTGAGCAGATCCTGGAGCTCAGCCGGCGATACGTCAAGGTCCTGACCGAGGAGAACCAGAATGCACCAGGAGGGCTGCAGGGAACCTCCATGGCTGGTTACGGTAAGCTTTCAAGAGGAAATCAGCAATGTTGTTCGATATGTTGGTGTTATTTCCTGCACATACAATTATCTGCTTACTCCTGTAGGAATTTGTATGTCCTAAAGAATACCCAAGTATCAATTTCTTACTTGTGTTTTCCCTCCATCTCATTCCCTTTCACACAGCTGACCTGAAGAGGACTATCGCTGTGCTACTGGAAGACATTTTGACACGGCTGGTCAAACTAGAGGGGAAAATCGACTTGGCGGTCAATGCCTCTTCCACTAACACCTCCCACACAGCAGGGGGCATCCTTGACTCTGTGGCCGCCGCCCTACAGAAATCCTCAAAGCAGGAGACACCTGGCAGCCACCCGGGGATGTCACGCCTTCACCCACACATCCCTAATAGGCCTCGGCCACATCAAGGAGCATAGTCTTGAAAGAAGTATTGATTTATTTTTATTTTGAGCACATCACACTTTTCCAGCGTTTATCTCTGATGTTACCGCATCAGACCAATGAAAAGCAATAGAAAGACATACGGACATCCGGAAAAATACAATGTGGGATGCTTCTTAGAAATGTTCAGCCAACTCAGAAGGAAGGAGGACTTCTTAAGGCTCTGTACTATCATATGCTGATGTTTATTTATTTTTATATTCTCATTGCTGATTTCTTTTGGCTTAGATCTTTAGCTTTTTTTCAATAATGCCATATCTGAATCCTATGACTGCAGAGAGGTATAAATACTCTTGGAACTGAACCAGATTCACATATGCTTTATCATAAAAGTGGCTTGAAATACTCTCCTATCTACATGGAAGTCTATTTTACAATACTGCTTAAATATATCTAAATGCTGAACTAAGCAGCACACTCATGATAGTTAGGAATAGCTGTATTGTCAGTTTAGCAGGTGCGGTTGTTAATTAGATTCTACTTATAGCTTACTCATAGTCTTAAGAATAATGAATAGTTCGCCTGTAAGAGATAATCCAAAGAATGTTATTTGCACTCCATCTTTAGGCAGGATAGTTGTGTATTTACAATTGCTGCAAGACAGTTTGAGGTTTATGCTGAATTGAAATGGATGATGCCTATTGTGCTACTGTAAACATGAGTGTGCCGTGTCTTGTTGAAATCCTATGGTTCCCTTGCCCAGTGTTGAGAAAATGTTTAAACTAAGGTGTGTAGCAGATTGAATGTACTGTGTAGTCAGTTTTTAGCCCTTTAGTGCTGTTAAGATGACTGACGTACTGCTTACACATGTTCAGGGTTCATGTTGCACTGTGACTCTACAGAGGTTTTCTAAAAATACTGGGCTCGCCCAACATTGACTTGATGGATATTTTAGAATGTGAGACATCCGGCGCTTGAATATTCCTTCTGAGTATGGCTTCCATTATACCAATAAACTCTGGTGCCTGCCCAGAGGAAATAGATCTTTCATTTGCACATCATGGTGCTCATTAGCATGATGGGTCTGGGAAGAATATAGACAATGCTTTGATCGATACTACTTGGGGATTGTATGAGACAAAGTCAATGTTGGTGATATACTGTAGGAGGGGGAAATGTATCGCAATGTTGCTTTTACATTACAGACAATATGAATCAAGGCCTTTAGACTGGATTGTCCAACTGTGGTATGACTCTTTCTGCATTGGGTAATGCCATTAATGTACTTTGCTTCATAATGCATAAGTTGAAAGATGTAGAGCCAGTGAGTTGCTGTGAGATGGCTTCATTAATAAATTGAACTTATGGAAAGAAATAGTTCTCCCCTTGTTTAACTCCACTCCTGTTGTTATTCAATATTTAAATGTAATGGGAAATATATGCTTAGACAATTAATCAAGATTTTGTTTTGCCTTTATCCATATATTCAGCCTGTGAATCACACTCCTTGTCGACTGCTTTTCCTTTATGTAAATACAATACAACTTGGAGGTCACCGATTTAACATAAGAACATTGTCAGTTTATATTTTTAAAGATAAAGCTACCCAACAGGGTTTAATCTAGCCAAATATAAACCAGCATCGACATGTAGATGCTATACCTTGTAATTTTAATATACACTAAGTGGCATCTTTATTCCGAGTTCTGAATTAGGTCTATTCATTAATTTTACTTTTAATATGTTGAGTTTGTCATTGGGATGTTAATGTTCTAGTAATTTGTACCATTCAGATCATAGTTTGTGATGGTGTCGTACTAAACTACATTATATCCAGGGCCCTTTGTAAACACGATGAATATCCTACTGAATAGGTCATTCTCTATTATATGTAGTGGAAGACTTCATTTTAATTGGTTTATTTGTATAATGTAGTGTTGCTACTTCCACCGCTGGCAATGTTGAAAAGGTTTAAGTACCTTGTTTTTGCATCAAGGGGACGCGGGAGACGAGACAGGAAGTGACGTTGGATTCTGCGGTACATAAACATACTACCGAGGTCCCGCGCCATCTTCTAGCTAATAAGCGGCCACAATAAATCATTGTGTTGTACCTCAGTGCTGCTATCAAAGTACTCACTTGCTTTAGCTACAAACTGAACAATGAGTGATACTGAGGATGGAAACTACGAGGGACGGGTAAGTAATCACATCGAATGGTACAAAAATATCTGTCTTTCTTTTCTTCCTGTTCCTTCCGTGTGGCTGTCGATTAGCAACCACTAATGGAGCTAATGTAACAGCTAACTTAATAGCTTAGGGTATTACACTTTTTTTATTTAGGTTAGCGTTACCTGAAAGGCAAATACGTGTTGTGGTTTAACATTAACAAAGTATTCTGAAACGTCTGCTAGGTAAAAGGCTCCAAACAGCCTCCTGCAATGCTCGCTAGCATGCTAGTTGTCGTTAGCTTAAAATAAACGTGGTTAGACCTTTTTGTATTTTTATTGGTGGAAGAAATATTCAGATACTTTACTCGAGTAAAAGTACCTTATTGTCAAATAACTTCATTACAAGTAAAAGGCCTGGATTCAAAAATCTTAAGTAAAATTACTATCAGCTATTTGTATTTACGGTATAACAAGTAAATGTAATCATTGTGCAGAACAATTGCCTTCATGTTAGTATACAAGTGTATTTATAAATGAGAGGTTTCTAGATGATATTTTTGCATCAAGAAGCATTTTATTGTAGTAGAGAAAGTTCTGATTTACTTTTTGTAAACTTTTTAAATAATTTGGTCATTGTGACTTTAAGAGTTAGTCTAGTTATTGGAGCAGGAGTACAAAGTAGCATACAATGGAAATACTCAAGTAAAGTTAAATTATCTCAAATGTGTACTCGAGTAAATGTACTTAGTTACTTCCCACCTCTAGGTATTTGCAACTTCTCCCATTGGTTACCATGTGAGTAAAATATATCGCACCTATATCCTTTGCCTATACAATTTTAAATACGAGTTATCCACGACGAAGTACTCATATTCAAATATCACGGCTGCAGCGATTAATGTACTGAATATGGCAACCTGTATATTTGTTTTTCTTGAGATAGATTTGGTTAGGGTTACATCATCAAACCAAATCTGCAAAGTAACCAAAGATAATATAACTAATTGTTATGGAGTACAAGTACACTATTTACCTCTGAAGTGTTGTGGGGTAGAAGTACAAAGTAGTAAAACATTCAAACAACACAAGTAGGAGTCTCTCAAAATGTACTTAAGTATAATACATTAAGTTAGTTTCTTCACATCACTGCACTCAGGAAAATGAAATATGTGTTTGTCCTGATCTATTAATACATTATATATGAGGTAACTTTAGTCCTAAGCATCTCTTCCTTCCCTGCTTTCTTGCTCTAATTTAGCAAATGGAAACTTCGCTATTATTCATTATCTGAGCTTTTTACTTGTAATCATTTAGCTTACATTGTTTCTTTTCTCATTTACTTGATTTCTGGAATATTTCAACTTAATGTAGCAACAATGTAATTGTACTGCATTCAGTGTTCCTTTTTTTTATTTCATTTAAACTATTCTCAAACCTATGATCTTAATTTTATTGAATGTTCTTTTTTCATTAAGGTTATTGATCGTGAAGGATTTGAAGAGTTTTATCCAAGAATGATGAAGAAAAAATTCAAGATAAAAGAAGGCTAATGAAAACATGTACAGAGCAGAACATAGAAGTGGAAAGGGAGAAAATGTGACGGAAGAATGGTGTCAGATATGGGCGCTTGCAGTATAATGGCTAAAATGAAACTGGTTACAGTTTGGGTGGAAGAGATGAAAAACAGACCTGGAATCAGAAAACTGAAAAAAGAAGAACGAAGAAGGATAGAAATCCTGAGAAAAGGGAGAAGGGTGTAAAGAATCTGGAAGAATGAATGTGTCCCTAGGTTAAGTAAATATACTGTTTGTGTCAACCTGTCTTCTCTTTACTATGCTTCCTTTTTTAATTTGAAAATGCATGTCTTATTTATCGCTTGATTGCCCAGGTGGACATGCAAATAGACCAGTCATTTACTTTTCTTTAATGGTTAACAATGGGCCACAAGCCAAATATATTTTAATTGGAAATCTAAGATTACTAACCCTTTTCTCCGCAGTACATAAGCTGTGCGATTTAGACAGGTGTACTGTATGTGTCCAACATACTCTACCACACTTCTCTGTGCTTATTTGCTTTTCTATGTTAAGAAATACATGTTTTTATCCACGAAAAAGTGGTTGACATTCTGCTATCGCTACAGGGGTCACGCTCCCCGTCTAAATCGGATCGTGGGAGTCCGGCTAGGGCCAAGTCGGGCAGCAGGTCCCGCTCCCACAGCCCCGCCCGGGCCGCCAAGCGCTCCGAGTCCAGATCCCGCTCTCGGTCAAAATCTAGGTACGTTGATATTTCATGAGATCCCTTGTGATACTGTGATCACATTTATATAAAACGAATAAATGCTCATTACTGGCTGAAATATGCTCCTATATATTACAACATACTTTTACACCTCTCCTCATTTGTTTCTTCCGTTTCAGGTCTCGTTCGAGGCGGCACTCAAACCGCCGCTCACGCTCTCGGTCCTATTCCAACCGGAGGAAATCCCGCTCTCGCTCCTACAGCCAAGAGTACCGCCGCAAGAAGAGCCCCAGCGCTTCCCCCAATTCCAGCAGGCGGCGTCCATCTGGCAGCAAGGTACATGTGACATGATCTGAAGTGGGCAGGGTACATTGAAATCTAGGAAGAGAAACAGACATCACTTTTTCATGCTCAGACACATTTACCAGATGTAAACACTGACATTTTGAACACTTTTATTTTTGTATTATTGTGTATTTATTTCAACAAGGACTAGCATACACATACATTAATCTCAGCAAAGAGAAGATGTAGCTCATTTTCATCTGCAGCCCGCTAGTTGTGGACATATGTCTACTCCACATCTTAATTAGTGAGGGTATGACCATATCTTCTAGGACCTGTTACTTAAAGGGTCAATACACGATGTGTCAGGCTCCAAATGTTTTGTTAAGAGAGGCTTTTATTATGAAAGATATCGTACCTGCAAGTAGAGATGGGACCATATAGGACTGTTCATGTTGAATACATGTCTAGCTCACTCCCATCGTAGAGAAGTGAAGAACAAAGCCTGACAATTGGACAGGAAGAAAGAACCGACTCTCACCACGTTGCTTTTGTCTCTTTATAAAATGTAAGGTAGAGGGACTCCAGTATGTTTAATGGAGTTTAAGCAAATGTTTTTGTGTGTTTATGAGGATTATCTAACTTAAGTCATTTTCAATATGGCTTTAAGTTGATTTATTGAACATAATTACAAGGATTATATGATTTTAAGTAACCGTTCAAAATCAAAAGCCAGTACATTTGTCATTCCTTTCATGCGAGTGTGTTTTCCCCTGATGATTGTGGTTAATGCTTTGGGAAACCACACATGTAATAACCCTTATTTTCCTGTCATTATATCAACAGAGCCATGACTTCCCAAAAGAAGCAGCCACTCAAGGCGCAGATGGAGATGTTAGGGTATTTAGACATTCTGATATATGTTGGGCAATGTGATGTTTGTTTGTGGGGCGAGGTGCCTAATGTAGATCACAAACAGCTTTGATTATTTGTATTTCAGGCATAAGCCATGCATGGGTTTCTTCATTTTTCAATAGCTAGCAACATGTGAATTGATAAACATAATGTACTAAATGTGTTCAATGAAGTTGCTATCGTAAATGTTCTCATAACTGATATTTTGCAACTAATCTTAAATAGGTTTTATCCAACTGCTGAGGGGAAATCCAAGATGAATTCTGTTTTGATAACATTTTACACTTCAATCAACCTTGATGTTTAGTAATAAATCAGGGCGGGACATTGTAAGACGCATGTTAAACCTCAGTTGGTGTAATATCAACAATGTTTATAGTGCACTGCAGCTTTTCTTGTGATAATACAAAGCGGGAATTAAGTGAGATTTGCAAAGTAAACAATGGACAAGTAAAAAGGTTTTGGACATGTTTGATTCTTCCTGGGGCATCCTTTTTGAAAGGTAATAGTTCAGATGTTTTGAAGTGGGGATTTACGAGCGACTTATCCATTGTCAGTGTTTAACCCACAGATGATGGTTTGCACGCCAACAGTGTGGAGAATAACACCGGAGTTACTGCACAGAGTATAAACAATGTACTCCTTTTGACGATGGGGTAAGCGAAACGTATTCTATCCACCAATCAGAAAGGTCTCTGACGGCCAGGTAAAGCAGTCTAAATAAACAAACAACTGATTATTTTTTAGGTGGCTAGAATACTTTTGCCGCTGTCCCTACAGTACATTGATTTGCTCTTGAGTAGGTGTTTGTCCAAACTCTTTCTTGGACTTTCATCTTAACATGTACTAATTTAACCCCATTTTATAACATCCAACTATTCCTTTTAAGGGACATCTGGAGATGTTTGAAGGGGAAAATGTTGGTATCCAGTTGTAAAAATGTCTAACTACAGTAGTTGTACTCATAATGTGCCGTGAAAAAACCGATCTGAAGCTACCTATTAGCAGTATTTTTAGGTCTGTGTTAATACATCCATAATATTCTCTTGGTGCAATATTATTATTTTTGCTTAAGCTCTAAAATATATTATTTTACAGAATTGTGTCGAGTGGATCCAATGCACACAATACTGCTGTCTGCATGAAAAAGAATGTTTTTCATACTAAATCAAGGAATGGATTTCTTACTCAAATCATAAGATGAAGTAGATGCAATAAACCACAATGTTGTCAACTCCTACCCTCTTGTTGACTCTTCCAGGCGAACCCTGACCCCAGCAAATGTTTGGGGGTGTTTGGCCTGAGCCTCTACACCACAGAGCGGGACCTGCGGGAGGTGTTTTCACGCCACGGCCCTCTGGCGGGGGTCAACGTGGTTTACGACCAGCGCACAGGACGCTCCCGAGGCTTCGCCTTCGTATACTACGAGCGAATCGATGATTCCAAAGAGGTGTGGGGAATGTTTGTGGATTAGTTTTTCACTTAAATGCATTATAATCTTCATCCCTGGTCCTGTGCCTCATTTGTTTTCTGTCTTGTAAAGTGGTTTATTGCTTTTATCTGGTGTTATACATCTTACTGATAAGATGGCTTAGCCAAAAAGTGTCATGGCTGTAGATCCGGAAAACAAGCAGTATAAATATTAAGTAATTTAAAAGTCTAGTCCAAGTATTGTTCATTGCCTATTGCCACCGTTTGGTCTTGTTTATAGTATTGTCACACAGGGGTCCAAATATAAAAAAAATCTTTTTATATTTGTGTGATTGCACAAGTACGCCACTAGGTGTCTGCCTTGCTACAAATTCCCTCCCCTTGCAGTCATGCCTCTCGGAGCTAAATGTAATGGGGGGCCTTTGTGAATCAATGATATGTAGCAAAAAGCTGACAATAATGTGATAACATCTCTGACTTCTCCTCCCTTTTCCTGTATCCCTTAGGCGATGGAGCGAGCCAATGGCATGGAGCTGGACGGGAGGCGCATCAGAGTGGACTTTTCCATTACTAAACGTGCTCACACCCCCACACCAGGCATCTACATGGGCCGGCCAACTCAGTGAGTCCACTTTGTCATGTCTTAAAAACCTTGTGGGTGGAAATGAATGTTTATTAAGTGGGTGAACTCCACAAGATCCATACATGTAGTTTTGATCCATTAGGAGTTAGCACCCGAATACAGAAGGCATATTTTCTGGCGTTTCTGCTGCTAATGAGGTTTTGCACATGTATTTTATAGATATGTTTTGACTTCATAAAGCTTTAATTGTGTGCTGTTTCATTACCTTTTTGCTTATTTATTCCTCGTAAATATGGGATACGTCTTCGATGTAATGCACCATTTGCAGCAGACACTACTGCAGCTCTGGTTACCTTGTGTCATGACAATAAAGATATTGAAAACAAAACAGGAATGGCGAAATGTTCTGCCGTCATAGTTCACTCCTGTAATTTCTGTATCCTGTTGGCATCCTTTCTTGAAAGTAATTTGTGATTTGTTACAATTCATATCAGTTTGACATGGTGCTGTGTTTCTCAAGAGATAAGATAGCTAAACGTCATGCCTTTTTTCTTTTTCTTTCTTTGAACAGCAACGGTGGCAGCGGCAGCAGCAGCAGCGGTGGTGGTGGTGGTGGTGGAGGAGGAGGGAGGGAAGGTGGTGGTAGGGATGGAGGAGGCAGTAGGGAAGGTGGTAGGGAAGGTGGTAGAGATGGAGGTAGAGATGGTGGTGGTGGCGGCGGCGGCGGCAGCAGCAGGAGAGGGAGAGACTCGCATTATGACCGTGGCTACGAACGTGGCTACGACAGATATGAAGAGTACGATTATAGGTACAGGAGAGTGCAAATTTGTGAGATCAAATACAATGTTCCAGTTTTACGTTGACGTTAATTTATGACATTGTCATTGCAGTCGCAGACGCTCTCCATCACCGTACTACCAACGATACAGGTCCCGCTCACGGTCTCGCTCCTACAGCCCACGTGAGTATAAAGAGAAATGCACAAAGCTTGTCTTACTGCTCTTAATATTCAAATACGAACGGGTGTGTGCATATTGATCCCTGATGAAAGTATATTGATCTTATCCGTCATGTCCTTGGACTAAAACATTTTAATTTATTTTTTGCAGGGCGATACTAAGGTCCATCTTCAACGCTCTTCTTCCCTCCAATAATTGATGGTGTGTGACTCCTCAGGATGTTCTATGGGGATTTTTTGGATTAGCATGTCTATATTAACAGAAATGTTAAGTTTGAGATGGTTCTTGTTTACATGCATTAGATGTCTTAATTTGTTAGACGTTTCGATGCAACCATGTTGAGTGTGAGCCAAGAACTCTGCAACTCTTGCTTTATTCTTAGGCTTGCATCCCTTCTTCCAACTTCACTTTAATTACAAGGATACAGCCTTCTTCCTTGCACTGATGACTGTTCTTGTCATGATGGGGAAAGTAAACTGGGTCTTAGTCAAATAAATGAATGGTAACACTTAATTGTACAACCGGTGTTAGTTAACGTGTAACAATCTTTGGACGGTAAAAAAGCAGATTATTGTTTGTTGCCATGTACTTTGTGAGTTCACCGGTATATGTGACTCAGACTGTAAGATCAAGTGTTGCCAGCATCAGTGGTCGGTTCTCTGCTCATTGTTTTTGTGTGGTCAAGGAAGTCATCATTTGAGTTTTTCCAGAGTTTTATTATCATGTATTGCATTTGTTATTGTTGTTTTTTTGTATGGAAATACAGATATACGAAATCTTCAAAGTTTCCATTGTGTTTTTCTGACTTAACGTGCATGAAATCAAAGTGAAGGGTCTGTCATAAAGGTGGGAGTGGATGCTTTAAGTTGAGTGGGTGTAGTGGGAAAACAAGCTGAGTTTTACAGAATAACACCAATGTTGTGCATTTTAAGTTTATCTTCACACACATACACACACAATGAAAATCTGAGCTAGCAAGAGATTCTCCAAAGTGTGAGTATTTCTTGTTCAGGTAACACCAATGAAACATGCAAAGAAGGACATTTACCCAGCTTTTATTGGGTGGCTTTCTTAACATAAGATTCAAAGTTCACATGTTAGAACACCAACTTTTATTAAATGTGTTAGGTCTGGAGTGTTGCTGAGTATTTGTTTACAGGAACAACTAAGTTATTTCCTTACATTCATGTGACAATGAAGATACTAGAACTACCCCTTAAGTAGTTGAATGTGTGCTTTACGATACTAAGATAACAATTCACCAAAGGTTACATGAGACAACGTTTTGTTAGATGTTTCTGCATCTTAACAAAACCATGCAGATTTCATCAACAGTTGATCAGTTTGTGTCCCAAAAGTTGAAAGTAGGAATCTTAAAGCTGAGTGGCTAATCAGAAAAGTAAACCTGGCTGTAGGAATGGATGGCACTTTATCTGTAGACCTTAACCTCAATTATAAGACCCTCCATTCAAATGGGGTTGATACTCACCACTGACATGTCATGGGGCCCCTCAGTTATGGGTTTATTCACACCGACTCAAAGATCATTCTTGAGGAATGATACAAGGGTCAAAGTGTGAGGTCTTTCTCAATAAAGAGTCAACAGTCAAAGCCTTCGTCAAATGTGTTTTCAACCTGGCTAATTTTTACCGTAGCTTTTTCTTCTAAGTGAATTTTAATAGCTGATATTTCTGTTACACTCTGTACAAATGTTTAATGAAAATTGAGTCCACTAATTTAGAGCCTTGTGCAATCGCTTCTTAGCCGCTCTCCATGAAGAGAAGAGGGGCTGGTTGAAAAAAATGCCTTTGAATTTATGGCTGCCTGTGAGGTGTTGTTGTGAAAAATCTCTTCTTTTTTTTTATGTCTTTGCTGAAATTGCACAGTTTCGTGGCAGGGGCAATCTACCAACAGGAAGACCAGTAGGGGACAGAATGGGTTTGTAGCTTGATGATATTGGGCTTGCATGAAGCAACATCTCCCTTATAGAATGTGCACTGAAACATTCAAGAAGGTAGAAAAAAGGACATTATTTTCCAGTTCAAAGAAAACAAACATTTTTAACAAACAGGAACATGAGCAAAATGTTTGTAGCAATCTGGCCATGGGGATTCTCTATAAAATACCCCACTTCCAATCTTTTTTTTCGGTTCTCCATACATGTTCTCATGTTGTTGTGCTGTTGAGGTTTTAGAGTGCCAAAGGTCCACACAAGGTGCAACCTATCTTTACATCATATATTTACAAAGAGGGAACCCTCATAACGTACAGGACAATGTCTGAAGGTTAATAGGCAACAGCATGTTCATGTTCTCTACATGGTTTGAACACAGGGTGACGGGAGGGGCTGTAGGCTTGAATTCCCCACCTCCGAGTTGTCCTGAGCAGTAAACATGAGGCTACTCTTTAAAAAATAAACATTAACAGCACATGATTTATCCTACCAGTCCTATCCAGTCAGAGTCCTTCTTATCATTTTATTTTAGGATAATCTTAATTTTTTGATATAAATCAGTGGAGGATGTTTTCCGAAAATGACATTTGTTGGAGAGTTGGTGCATTGGTCTTTAAAGATTCTTTTGAATGTGTCTGAAGTAAACCAAGAAGTAATTATTGACTGTTCAAGAAAGATGTTTTTAATGCTTTTTTAACTGGAGCCTGGTGTGTTTGAATACTATGCAATATTTCAGTATCAATTAAAAAAACAGTTTGAAACTTAACAATGTTTTACTCTGAATTTATTACAAACAATGAAAAACAGGTGGCAAAAAAAAATCTATTTTATTGCCATAACATTTTAAATCCACATCAAGTAATGTGTATTTCTTCACTGAATTAGTTAGCAAAATCATCAGGTTTATTATCTCCTTAACCCCTAGGATTCAGATACAGTAAATACAAGCTGTATTTAAAACAAATACATGCCAAAGAAATCCACTTTAGACAATATATATATATATATATATATATAGTTATTCATTCCAGCATTTTATTTTTGCAATAAACATAATCTAGGTAAAATTACAGGTGTAAAACCTTAAAGCACAACAGATCATGTTTCTCTTTTTGAGTTGTTTCAAGAGCCTTTTCTCAACAAACATCACAGTGTAATTAATCAATTAAAGTGCTAACAACAGCAGCCATGAAGGGAATTATTCATGTAATACAGATACATGCATGCATTCAGTATGATATAGATGCAATGTGTGACTACATCTGCAAATATTCATGTGACTGTGTGTGAAAACACCCACTTTCTCATCAGTATTTTTACATTGCCTCAACATGTGGTGTTAATTTCAACAAATGCTCAAAAACTATTCAAATGCAGTCATTTCTAGATCCAAAAAAACCAAAATTCAACAGATGTTTATCACAAAAATATATGTTTGTTAAAATAATGTCAAATAAAGACGAATCAAAATGTAAATCTGTTCATTTTACACACTGCAGCATGTCGAATGCAGTGTGTGCAGAGTTGAATTAAATTACTTGTAATTAAACAAATATGTTTGACTTAAAAAAATAGGGGGAGATTTTGCCACTAGTGGAACCAAACAATGGCATGACGGTACATGTTTGCCTGCTATTAATAGCTTTTTAGAGTTGTTTGGAAAAAAGAAAAGACTCCAATAATTGCCTTTATAATATCCACTAATTTAAATAATATTTCCTGTTACTCTTGATAAAGATTAAGTCTACTTTCTCATAAGAATTTCCAGGATTTGACTTTTGTTTGAAAAATCTAAGTACACGTGACGAGAAAATACTACATTTCCTCCACTTGAATTATTCTTTAAAAATAGAAAAGATTTTGGCTTTAAAATGTGTACAATTTCTATACTCCAGCAGTTTTTATTAACTCGTTGTTTACTGTTAAAAATGAATCTTCCTTGGCATGTGTTTTTGAGGGGGCACAAACCGCCATTTTCTAATGAGATGAAGGGTGTCATCACACAGGAGAATCTGTGAAGAAAACACATCCTATTTTTGGTGTTTTGGAGCCTGAATGAAACTCCTTGAGTTAAATAGGAAACACATGTCTGGACATAAGAAAAAACCTTACATTTACATCGATAAGAACCTTGTTTCTATCAGTAGCCTAAATGTTCCTGTAGAGGCTCCAGATTCTCCTCAACATGGCGTTCACCACTGTGTTCCCTGACTCTGTCCGAAGCGGTCATTCAGAGGATTTAATGCTTTCAACTCAAGTGAAAAAAAACAACATTGTTATAGATTAGAATCGCCTAGCAATAAATACGAAATAAAGCAATCTCACCGGAAAACAGAATCCATTGAATGAGCCTAAAGGTTTTTGTGAAAGAGCCTTGCGCTTGGCGACGTATACTATCTCTTGGAATGAGGCCAGCAGCTTAAAGTTGGGCAATGCGTTTTACTTAAACAATCCTACCTCCCCTTCTCCTTCCCTTCAAGAAATTCCCTAGACTATGTTTAACCAGATCGATGTTGTTAGTTCTTTTTCCTGCACAGTAATCTTCCCACATAGGATGTAGTCTAGTCTGAAACTTTGTGTCAGTTTGCCCCTATGGAATTTGTCTATAGCGAGGAGTCCTGAAACTGGGGGCGGGGAGACTTTCTGTACATTCCTCAGCGATACATTCACTTCTCCCCCTGCAGAGCCTACACACACACACACACACACACACACACACACACACACACACACACACACACACACACACACACACACACACACACACGGACAGACTGCAGCCATGCATCAATTCATTTAAACCGACACAGTCAGGCGAGCACTCACATGACTGCTGTCTCAAGTTATATACTGTACAAATGCATCTATAAGGTGCTGTTTGCAGCACACAGGGGCAGTATGCAGACACAGTTCCTGCTGTGCGATTCGTTATTCGATTTGCAGTGAATACCATTAAAGCCAGATAAACCAGGTTATAAAAAACGGTATGCGCCTATCTAGGTCGACGGAAAGCGTCCATGTTTATTACAAACCTATGGGTCAATGCAAAAAGGATATGGATCTAAACATTCAGTTAGAAGTTATTAAGAAACTCTCCTGTAGGTGAAATACTACATGATTAAAAGTAAGAAGGGAACTTAATGCTGAATTTAAAACAGTCTTTTACTCCATTATCATTTAACCTATTTATGGGGCAGAGCCTGTATGTAAACACAGCCTAAACTTGTTGAAAAGAGTTATGGAAGTCCTGCCGAATTGGCTGCTGCTTCGCGTTTCGTTGTATCTTTAAGGCATATGACAAAGCCCAGCAGAGGAAACATGGGGAGTAACGCATAATTGGCGCGCTGATTCATATAGAATAGTCGCGCGGAGGAGCCAATGAATGAGCGCGTTGAGGCCGAGCCAGCAGCAGTAGTACGGAGCGGGGCTGCAGCGCTCTGATTGGTCAGCCTGTCCGACCAATCAGAGAGCGTTGTGTGTTTGATCAGAAGCAGAGGAGTAAACCAACTGAGACAGCCATGGACCCAGCCTGAGCTAGAGGCTGAAGGGCCCACTAAACCAACACTCCTTTTGTAACCTGCCTTACACGAGCATGCACACCTAGGCCTATTCATTAGCAAACACTGCAGGGACACAGTACTATCATTTCAGCTCAAAGCATAGCTCTTTGCAGGGGCAATTGCAGGGCTCCAGGGAAGGTTACTCCCACCTAAACTTCACATCACTTTCTTTTCTTGGTGAAATACAGTTTACATTTCAGACTCCAACTGTTCAAAAGTAAATTACTTAGCAAACAGTGGTGTATACATTTACTCAGGTACTCTACTTTTAAGTAACATTTTTGATAGAATTCAGAGGTATATTGTGTACTTGTATTCAACTACGTTTATTTAATATATTTAGTTACTTTACAGATTTGTATTAATGATGTGAAATATAATCAACAGTTATATAATATGTTGGTTACACCTGGAGTAAATTCACAAGCCAACCTGCAGTATACAAAGTGATTAAAACTAGCTGCACCTTGCTTTGATAATACATCAATATTTATAATCAAAACATATGATATTATTCTGAAAAGGGCTAATTGCATAATGAGTATTTTTTACTTTAAGCATATTGTGATGATAATACTTTCTTTAGTAACATTTTGAATGCAGGACTTTTACTTGTAACAGAGTACTCCTACACTCTGGTACTTCTACTTGCAGGCTATACTTATTAAGATCTGAGTACTTCTCCCACCTCTGTTAGCAAATGATATATGTAGGTTGCAATGAATACCAGAAAAAACTAATATGATAATATAGTTTTTAGTTTCTTTCTGGCTACAATTCCAATGTAGTTCTTGATTTGCCATTAATGACTAATTTGTGATAACTCTAATTATAGGAACTAAATTATACACACACATGATGATACACCTCATAAATGATACTGTCACGTGCTCTGTGTGTTAAGCATACCTAAACTGTTATGTAGCCTAAAGCCTTAGTCTGAAGATGTTTGGATTGAGTTCACATAATGATCTAAGTATAAGTACAAATATAAACTCAGTTCGCAAATCTGAATCTAATGCAGTCCTTTACAACAACTGTGCAATACATTCTACCTTCATGAAGTGTATAAAAGTCAGAGGTGCTGATTCCACTTAACTGATATTTTGGCAACTACATTTTTAGTGCAGTTGAAGTAGGGCCACATTGCACTAAGAAGTATTTTTAACATGTTGTCCACCTTGAGTATCAAGTCAGTTAAACAGCATAAATGCAACCTCGAAACTAACCATTAAAGCAAATATTTTTTTGAAAGACGGTTGTATCAGACTGCCCTAGTTGTATTTGTGTACCTTTTAAACTGGCTTCGAGTGAAGATAAAAACATAGATAGATACTGTAAAAAGCCTACGCCAGATCTTTAATTCGGAAGATTTGATTAACACGAAATTGTAAGCTTATTTTCTTTTTGTGGTTCTTGGTGTTGCAAAATTGAAGGCAGTTTTGCTTGGACAGCGTAACGACATTTCTGTCATCAACAGGTACGGATTCAGCTGCACATTTATCATGTGGCACTTTTCTTGCGGAGTGACCTATGCGTAATCTATCGGCCTTCGCCTGAGATTTACAAAAGATTTTATGAACACTAGTGTACTATTTCTTACACGGATTCCCACGTTATTGAATTGGGCTGTGCGTTACGTTACATAGGACGCTAGGGGCACTTTGGTGTAGTAGACCCCTCCCTCTCTCAGTGAATGCAGATCCATGCCGGAGGTATAGCCGAGAGGATTCGCCATGTGCATTCGGCCCGCATGGCCAACGCCTCCTCGTTGTGCCAAACGGTCTGAAAGTTGGATAAAACAAATGGGGGGGGGGGAAAGCACTCATCTCGCCCAAAGAAACCCCCCTTGATTTATTTTGTGTGGCCTCGAGAAAATCGGTCCTGCAATTGGACTTTGAGTTGTGGATCAGGGAGGGCATGGCTCCACTCTAGTTGGAGAAGATGGATGCCGTCATGTGGATAGTAGTACGTGTCATTCCCATATTGCGCGGAGGCCCGAGGAGGGGCGCAGGGCCCTCCCTAGTCAAGTTTCTTAAAATTAAATGTGCCCAGCTTTCAATTTAACAATATAGTGCAACATCATTTATGAATGTCCCCACCCCCTTTTCCTGCTCTTGTGTCATCAGTACAGCGCACTTAGCACAGCCGTGCGCACAAGCCCCCGCAATATCAGCGTCGTCCCTGCTATGGGCCTGCATGAGCGCATTGCCGTTTTACTATTCCTCCGCCGACCAATAAGAACCGAGTGTTTGCAGAGAAAGGCACACGAATGTGATTCTAGTAAAGATACACTGGGTTCTCACGGAATCCCTTTACGCACATAGCTCGCCAGGTTTTTTCCCCAACACCAATCCACTCTTCCCCTCCTTTTTTATCCACTCCCCTCTACTGTCCCCACCCCAGATTCCCGTGCAATTTTCCCCAATCCCAAACACTTAATTGAGCAATTGGGATTCCTCACGTGTGGGCTGATTTGTAGTTTGAACACGTGGCTCATTCAAAAAAGCCGGAATAGCGGAGGATTTTTTTCACCCCCTTCTTCTTCTTCTTATTCTAGGATCTAGATTTAGAGGCGGGCGCCAGCCTTACCGTGTGTGACATTCTCTGTCTCTTTGCCAAGGGGTTTGGAGGAAGACACAAAGTAGTTTCTCCTCCTTTTCACCCAACGCGCCATCGTTTGGAGACACGAGATTAATAATTGAGCATTTATTTATTGCGCGATAGAGACAGAGGGGCGAGGGAGAGCGAGAGCGAACGCACAGTGAGGCTGCCAGTTTAAATCTATCTGTGGCTTGAACGACCGGGAAGCACGCCACAGCCTCTCCGTAGTAGTATCGGCGATTTAGGCTACTCCAAACACTGCACATCCGTGAGAGCAAACAACTATCTCTCCCTCAGCGTAAAGATTGTCCCTTTTTCGGCGCAAAACATGAATAAGCTATACATTGGCAACGTGAGCGCTGAGGCGAGCGAGGAGGACTTAGAAACTATCTTTGAGCGTTTGAAGATCCCGCACAGTGGTCCGTTTCTTGTCAAAACTGGCTATGCATTTGTGGATTGCCCGGACGAGAAAGCAGCAAACCTGGCCATCGAAAGGATATCAGGTGAGAAATGTTGGTTAAATAAAATTGTAAAAAAGTGGTGATTCGAAAGACTCACTCAACTGCTGCAATTGTGTGAAGATTGCTTTTACTTGAGTCCTGTGGGGTGGGGGTGTATGCAACCATTTATTTCTCTCGCACAACCTTTACTTGGCCTTTTGACACTGGGTTCAGAAAAAATAGCTGCCATGGGTTCGAGTGAAATTCTGCACTTGTAATTTAAATGTGTTACTTGATAAACTGAGTGAACCCAAGTATGGGGGGGATAAGAAAGAAATACCGAGGCTTTCCTGTTGTGTGTGGCGTTCAGGCAGCGGGCTGTGGACGCCGTGTAGTGAGCCTCATTGTGGGCTTTATCTAACAGCTCACTTTGGCACGATTGTGAACAGAAGCCGTAGTGTGTTGCTGCTTTTTATAAGCTTCAATTTTAACTCACATACACGTCCAGGTTCCAAACTATAGGCCTTCTCTTTTGGCCACAACTTGCTACATTGTGAAGCCATTTCGCCCATGCTGACACACCAGGTGGTTTAATTGTGTTGGTCAAATGTAGGCCAACTAACTTAGCCACACTACTATCTGCTTTTGTAAAAAATTAACTTCGTCTCATGGTTTGTTATTAAATTATAGTAAGGCCTACTCACAACAGAACACGTAAGGATTCAGATAAACTCGTATAATTTTACGTATTAGCTGGTTCGTGTAGTGGCTCGCACATTTTTGTGCCTTTGTGTTGCTAGTTTCAAATTATAGTTGAATTATACTACATTGTGTATATATGCATGTTTAGATTTAAGTACACTACCCAAAACGAGTAGTCAAAAATACTCCTGAATGCATTTCCACGAGCAGGAGAGGAGGCCTGTTGTTCAGGAGGTCAAATGATTAATGACACTAATAGTTGTGTCTTTTTGTTTTGTTTTTTTAGGTAATGAAGAACTCTTTGGGAAAGTTCTCGAAGTGGCGATCTCGGTCCCTAAAAGTCAAAGGTAGGTCGTTTTTACAATATAGCCTACTGCTTTTTGGTTCAACTCGTGGGAGCTGCAATTGTTTGTCCTCCCAATTATCCTATTCTTCAATGAGCCTTTTTTTTTTTTTTTTTCCGAAATGTGTGTTTACATTGCTGTACAATTTTAATTCAGTATTGTTTTAAATGTTGATTAAATGAGGTGTGTTTTTGTTCCCCCCTGAATGCTCTGGGGTCAAATGAAAGGGGCGTATGGTGGTGTACTCCCTCCTTTCGCCATGACTGTGTGGAGTGCTCCTAAAACCGTCGTGCATTAAGGTTTTAACCAGCCTATATTCTCTCGCTCGCACATATTGTATGTTCAGTACTTGGTATTGTTTGAGCTCCAACTTCGGGGCGATTAGTTAAAAGCCTGAATGTGCACGGTCGAAATGTGTGTGCAGGCTGTGTTTGAGGCGCACAGGCCTTGTGGAGTCGTCCATTTGAGAAGGATCTGCCCGTCATTCTCCCTGCCTGCCCTGCGCTTCCGCCCTCCTCTGCACATTGTGCTGCTGTTGCATGAGATGGACTCCCAAACGCGAGTGGAATGGGAGGTTTGGGGCACAAGTCACGGAAAACCTTAGTTTCAGAGTTAGAGCCCAGTAGCCACTCTTGGTCAGTCGTCTCTCAGTCGTCTATTACCTCAAAAGTGAAATATAAATGTATTTCCGTGAAGGGTCTACGTAATGTGCCGAGGACGTAAAATACTGAGGCATATTGGTATTGTGTGCGTGTTTTTAGGTGGTGACGCAATTCGGCCATAATTAATAATTATTATTTTTATTAAAACGTCTCTCTCTTGGTAATTGGTTTAATGTTTTCTAAAAGGTGTTACACGTAATATGCATGGTTAAGTCGCCTTTTAAAGTTTAATTGAATGATTTGCTTTTTTACGCAAAGTCACGTTTTGAAATCAGAAAGGCGAGGAGGAAACACGTAGGCTTGTGGACTGTTATATGTTTATTTGACATAGAAAGTAACTTGAGGTGAAAAAGGACATGGCAGAGATTTATATATTTTTCAAAAAAAATGTCCACCTACAAGCTCCTGGCCACTTTGTAGGCTGCTGGTTTAAATGGTGCCTTGGATAAATAAACCAGGTAAGCTAAATGAGAATTTTGCGTCAAATCTTGACACATTTTCCAGATAACGAAAAAACTGGTGACGTTGCTCTGTCTTTTGAGTGCCTGCTGTGGTGGCTATGGCAGCAGCAGAGTCGAGTTTCAGCCACACTTTAAAAAGTAAAACGTGCCCTCCCTTTACAACATGGAACATAGCAGTAGTCAATGGGAACAGTATTCTGAGTTTGGGCTACACACTTGGACACTGGGGCCCCTCTTTGCATTCCAACCGGCAAATATTAACTGGGGGCTCGGCCAATCGCAATGGCTTAACCTTTGAACCTTTCAGCAAGGGGAAGTGCTGCAACAGACAGATGAAGGTGGTTATAGTGGGGCTCGTGAAGATAGAAATGTGTAGAATGACATGCTGAGCAGTGTGGAGTTTCACATGGGTAATAATGCAACATGTAATCAAACATTTGGATGTGCATTCCTTTTAAATTTGTCATGAACGTGGCCAAAACCCCCAATAAAAATGTGTCCAGTTCACTAGCAAAAACATCTGCTGCTGCATTCAATAGTGACTTCAGGAAATCTGTGTATTAGCAGTTTAATCCAACATAATTCAGTTAATTGAAAAAATATTGTCCAGCATTGCATAGTGTTAGTAGTATTATAGTTATTAAATATTTCAGCCATTTTATAGACATTTATATTTTGTTGTGAAAATGTGCTGTACTTGGCTTTGTATTTGGCATTTAAAGTGGACACCCACATTTTCCTGACAATTTATTGAACTTGAATTTATTTTTTACCCAGAAAGCATGTACAGGTAGAATAAGAAACCAAGGATCAATCAGAATCATCCAGGTGTATTTACATTTCAGGTAAAACTGTTTAAAGGGACCTGTTTATAGTTTCACTTTTGATTCAGCTTTTTGCAAGTATATGAAACGGCTTGTTAATGCAAGCAACTGGGCCATATGTATTTATTCTGGCTAACAGTCTATCATTGACCACTAAATGTTTTATTTAATTAATTGGTAGCAAAACAAGTTGTAGAAGTGTCATATTTTGAACACTTCCTCAGTCAGATTATGCTCCCCTTGTTGGATAAATTAAAACAAATCTTGCCCATCCCCACATGCACATGAAGGAAAGGGCATGGCATGAAGAGTATGTTGTTTAACATACTTTATCCATAGGTGAATAACTTTATGCTTTATTTAAGAACATACAATAGTGTAGCTAATGTCCTCAGTGAGTGGGGTAAAGTAACAGCTGTTATATATATTTTTTATTTATACAAAAAACTCCATAAATGTAGTCAATAGTGTAGATCGTATCAGTGCTGTTTGTAGAAAAGGCTCCTGGCTCTTATTTCAAGAATATCAGGTCATGGGGTCACAGTGGGGCCCCACCTGCAGAAACAGGGATTTAGGACGGAGACTTGGGGTGCCAGAGAATTATGAATGTGGCCCCTTGTTTTACCCAGACTGCAAGAAAAGACTCTTCATCTTGCAAGGTCAAATCAGAATGACATTGTGCTTTTGCTTCGTCTTGCGTGTATATAAAATGGTTTGATGTGGCTGGGTAGTAGTCACAATTGTGTATTAGTGTTTGCAGAAGTTGATTAATTTCTAATTGTTATTCAACTCATTGGAATTATCTGTGGGAATAGCCAATCTATCCAAATGTTGAATTTAGCTTATTGGGTCAGTGTGCATATAAGGCCTGTGAGAAGGCAGCGGAAACCAGGCTGTGGAGTTCAGTCATTCAGAACCACTGCATACTGAATAGTTGATAGCTGTGGATGGGCGTTGAGCACAGGTCCCAAACCAGATAGTGTTGAGTGCTTCAGTGAGCTTTTGGAAATGAATACAGGTGTGATGCTGTCTCATTGTGAATGCTCTTGTCTTAAATGCCTGCATGCTTATGTGTTTTAATACACCTACTTTTGTGCATTACGTTCACCCTGCAGGCTTGAGCTGAGCGGCTAAGGAAGCGGGCAAACATGCTGAATATTGGTACATTTTAAAAAGTAAATAAGGCCTCCTCCTGGCCATCACATGACGAGCCAACCCTAGTCACTCCTGTCCCTCCCCCTCCCACTTTTAACCCCGCTACATGTTCCTGTCAGTGGACTTGTCCGTGTCCATGGTAACAGGGCCCCACCCCCACAGGGCAGAGAGGGCCCTTGTTACCCTTGCCTGAAACAGGGCTAGTCCTCCCCCCCCACCCTCACAAACACCACACCCCACTCACACACACCTCCCCCCTCCCCAAATCAAAGGCTTGGACTAGGGAATGTATACCAACCCCCACCCACCCTATACCCTGGCTGACTTCTTCTGTGTGTGTGGAGCTATAGGTTAATCCGAGTGGAAGTGCTCGGTGCATTTGCACATTTCGCATGGCGTTCCCACCGCAATGCAGAGCATACAGAATGTGTGGGGAGAGGGGGCCGGATCAGCCAGGAATGGCACAGTGGGCCGGAAAGGGCTGGAATTCCTCTTGGAAGTTATTTGGGAATTTTCTTTACAATTTGCCCATTAAGAATAAAGTAGTTTCCTAATGTCTCAAAAATAAATATGTTTGTTGAACTGCTGCTGGCTTGATTGAGGTCTTAGAGCTAAACTGAGGAATGTAAACTACTGCGGCCCCTGTTGCACATGTGCAGTATGCTTTTACTGCCTAGATGTCCTTGTGTGAGTTTTAAATAAATTGCTTAAAATGCTGCATTGTGTATTTTTCTCACCAGCAGATTAGAAAACAACCAATAGCGGCAGAGCTGTTTGTACAGGATGAGCTGCATTTTAAGTCTTTTTTTAACAGCTCAGTTATATTTTATGGAAAATAACAAAAGATGCAACTCTTATGCACCCCTTTTTTTAATGAGAGTTCATTCACTTAGGAGACATTTTTAAAAATGCTGCATGGTGTAATTTCTCACCAGCAGATAAGAAAACAACCAGTAACGGTGTTGCTGTTTTTACAAGATGAGCTCGGTGATTATTTTTATATTTTTTAGAGAAAAGACCAAGCGATGCAAAAAAGTTTGTACACAGATGTCCACACACAAAGTAGTTTAAATGAGATGCATATGTATGAGGTCCATGTGTTGTGAGTGTAAGGCTTGTGTGAAAATGGGATGGGGTCAGGATTTGTGATTCCACTGTGTGTGTGTTCATGCTTCACCTCCCAGCCATATGTACATTTTGTTCCTTTAGATCTGTTCGTATCCACATGCAGCGGACTTCGGAGTGGCCAGGGCTTTTCTCACATTTGTAAAACTCTGTGACTCATTGATCCAGAAGTTCCTTGTCTGCGTGACCTCCACATTTACCCAGTATACTCATGATGCTTTCCACAATTTGTAACTACATTTGGGAACCTTCAAGCTGATGGGATGAATCTGGGATTTTTGTCCTCGTTTGATTCTAGTGACGGGGCACACCAGCACCTTTTAGTTAATACTGGTTTCCACTTGCTTCTGTTGTATTCACAGTCTCTAAAAACAAGCACGCAATTCTGATTCTTGGCATTGAGTGTGACGCTTTTTTTTTTTTACAGCAGCTGATACTCCTTGATCAGTGTATGTTGGGAGTGGGGTTGGGCCTTGCACCGGTTGAAACCTCATCATGCAATGCTATAGAGCAAATGATTGACTCTAAAATTGCAAATAGCCAACCTTCAGATGCATCTTTCTCTTTCCACTTGAATCGTATTCCCCTCTGCTCTCACCTTTTATGCCTGCTTTCACATCTCGTCCTTCGCACTTTGTGTGACACAATCTGTGATTTAGGACAAAGTGTGTGGTATGGGTTTAAAAAAAAAAAAAGGTTTACATTTTAGGCCACCCAGTTAAGATTCCAAATTGCCCCTTTGCCCTCTTTTTTCTCCATCACTTCCTCTCACGCTTTACCCAGGGTGTCTCATTGCACCTGCTGGGTGGGGAATGGAATTAAAGCAGAAGTCGTATGTGCTGCTCCTCCATCTTGGTCTTTCTTGCTAGATGGAGTGAATGAAGTCCTTTTGTGTTTTTCAATTAAAATGCCTTATTTTTTCATTGTGCTCTTGGTATTGTCGGCTACTAACTGAAACTCTCTCCTCTTCTTTCCCATCTCCCTTTTCCCATCAATTTATCTCCCTCCCCCTTCTTCCATCCCCCACCGTCTTCCTCCCTTGTTCTCTCTCCAGGAGCTGTAAGATGCAGATCAGGAACATCCCGCCTCACATGCAGTGGGAGGTGAGTGCTAACAGGCTGCTAACTGTTCCAGGGCGGGGCATTTAGTGGACTCTGGAGTCACCTTGCTTACCTTTTGGGTTTCAATCAAGCATGTTCTTTAGAATTATTTTAACAAAGCTATAAGGTCAGGCCTAACGTACCAACCAGTGGGTGGAACTGCAATTTGATAAAGCAGAAATGACTTCAAATACCAAAGTGATTTCTAAAGGTTGAAGCTATACCATTTTTGCTACACAGGAGCTTGGCATTACTGAACAATCTATTGGAAGAATTAAAAGAGTAAGGTCCCAAGGGTTTGGCTGAGTCAAGCACACGAGGAAACTTTAAGCAGTTACGAGGTCTTTGTGGTGTTGTATTGCTGAATGTGTTTGCAACCTACTAGGCGTGTTTCTTAAAGCATTTTGAAAAAGCTTATTGTTTTTGAATTATTAATATACACAGGATCAGATGTTCTTAAAATGGCAAACAGGACTTAATTGTGCTGTTATGGTCACATGTGCTAGTTTGAAAATGAATGCCTCTTCACACTGTCTTTTTTTTTGCAAAAAACTGTTCTGGTAATGAAATAAAAATAAACCAAGTGAATTGTCTGTGGCTTTGTGAAACATTTCACACAATGGGGTGTTTGACGTGGCCCTGTGGATTACTGTGTGTTAATCCTAATATGGTGCAAAGAGATATTTCCTTTTTTTTTTTTTAAAGATCAATTTAGTGTACTATGTGGTGCTTTAGTGTGTTTTGTTGAAGACATTAGTCCAGAAATTAAGTGATTTGATATATTTGTGTACCTTTACAATCCAATCAGTGATGTGCTAGAAACATTACATGTCCAAATATTATAATTTTGGAGTTTTGAGATTTAACTGTATCCTAATTTAAGTAAATAGTCTATGTTGTCCAATAATATGTTGTGATGTATTTCTACGAGTGAAGTAAAAATACAGTAATAAGTACTTTTACATTTTAAGAAACAATACATCTGAAACACAAGTTTATACAATGCCCTTTTTGTGTCCGTTTGCACCATTCATTTACAAACAAGGTACCAAACGCTAAAAAGAAACAAATTATAATTCTGATACTTGTGAAAGCTGAGTATATTGTTTTGACTTTATCTTGGAAAAATGTTAGGCAAAATCTCACTTTTTCATCAGCAAACCATGTCTGAATTGATCATGCTAAACTGTGCTCAGGTGCATAGATGGAACTCTGAGTTGATTGGATGTTTTACAGAGGAGTTCAAGTGAATTTAAGCAGTAACACTGGCACTCAAGGTCGGTGTTAAATCTCAAAGGCAATTCTCTTGTTTGGTATTTCCTAAAGGGTAAAAAGAAAAAATATGTGATACTAACTAAATCAATTAAATGATTCTGCTGTAAAATGTGTAGTTTCACCAATAAGGCAGTGGGCTCTTAATCTGACTTGGTGTTGAGCAACAGAAGTGTGTCCTTGCAATGTATTTATTTTTCCTTTGCATTGATGAAAATGTAATCTAAAACTATGTACTGTGCAGTGTTGGCTACAAATTCTTCTTTGAGTACACACTGATTTAATACGCAGATGTAAATTCATCTAAACTTTAATTTGACCACTTTTAAAGCTAACTGACACATTTCACTACCTCTTTTTTTCCTAAATCATTTTTGTCAAACTCAACATGGCAGCATTAACCTCCATGTTGAATCTCATGTGGCTGTAACACTGCTTTACGTGACTTTTTTTTGTTCCCCCTTCCCTCTGCAGAGGTTTAGCTGTGATGGCGTGAGCCTGTAGTTTCGTTCAGTTGAATTTTCTCCTCCTAAAGACTATGCAAGCCTACTAAGAATGTTCTCATTGAATTGCACAATTGTTCTGAATTGTAAGGTTAATACATGGCTTTAGGTTTCAGCCTGATTCACTCAGTATGATCAAATGGCTACGGACATACTCAGTGTTTTGTAATGGTGGTCTCGCTTTGCCTACGCATGTCCCTCAACTGCAGATCCACCCATGTTCCTAGCATGTAGCGAGAGAGCCGTTTGCTTTTTTTCAAAAGGTGACATGGAGGTTTCTCCGCCTCAGCGGGGGAGGGGTAAGAGGAATGGAGCAACAGAAAATAATAGGCTCTTTTGATGCAAAGGCCTTGTATGTATCTTATCAGGTAGATAAGACAATGGGTCATGGTGTGTAGCCCTGCAGCGAGAGAATAGTGGCGAGAGTAGTGGCGTGTTCACAGGCTGTAGTGGGTGGGTGGGCCTGGACTGTTTCCCCTTCCCTTCCATGTGCTCCGATTCACAGAATGTGTAGCATGAACTCGCACCCCTCCCCCAGCCCCTGCTTCCTGCTGGAATGTACCCCACCCTTTCCTGAGTGGCCTGGATTCCCATTGGCTGGGTTTGTTAGACAGACAGGCAGACAATCCAGTCATTAGCCGGCAACGCTTGGCTTCAGGGAACTGTATCGGCTCAGGAGCAGCCAATGGTGGGCAGCGGAGATGGCAGGAAGGCGGGAGGTTGGATGGTTGGAGGAGTAGGGGGCAGGGATGCAGCCTTGTTGGCTAAAAAGTGGGGTTGAGCTCTTGGGGGTGTGGCGTCAGATTAAACTGAGCATGGTTGGATGTCTTAGCTTAGCCTGGAACCCTCGCTCCCCCTCTCGCCCACATTTGATCACGATCTATGAATTAAAATCCTGTGGTTTCCAGATTTAGTCAGGTGGCCAGTGTGTTTGGGTTTTTCTATTGAAATCATTTTCAATAAAGCAAAATTTTTTGCTTGCATGATTTTTTTTTTTTAATTAAAAGGATTGAATCATTTTGCCAATATTTTAAATGTCTCAAAAGTTTCTAAGGTCTGCTTGAGAACCTAACAATTATTATTTATTTTAGAAATGTTTTTCTACATTTAAATACATGAATCTATGCAAGAATCTTGGAGGAAAAATTATAATTTGAGGTTGTCAGGCATTCACAAGAAGCCATTTAATGTATCTATGTAACTCAACATAAAGCTCCAGGATTAATGCACTGTTCCCACAGATGAGCTTCTGCTCACCAGCAGGTTCTGGTCAAAAGCTTTCAATGTTTCTGAGTAATAATGGTTATTTTTCTTTCAGGTCTTGGATGGTATGCTTGCTCAGTATGGAACAGTGGAGAGCTGTGAACAAGGTAAATACGGACTTTAGTTTAGACAATGCAATTGCAACAACAGATTATTCCATTACCTTGCTTCAAACCCCTTTTTATACTGCATCAAGAATTGTTGTTATTTTACAGCTATGTAATTTTGTTGAAGTTGCATTATTTATTAAAGCCAAATTGAAATTTTCTTTGAACAATTTTGTTTCCATGTAGAAGTAGCCACTGTTGATAGATTGCATCACTGAATTTGTGGATTGACTGCGCTGTGTCCTCCACAGTAAACACTGACACAGAGACTGCAGTAGTCAACGTTCGATATGCAGCGAAGGACCAGGCCCGTCTGTGAGTACACACATACACGGACATGCAGTGTATTAACCTCAATCTCATCTGTCTTCATCTCTCTGACATGGATCCGCTCAAGTTTTTCACTTTACCCAGCATTCTTTGTTGCAAATGACCTCCACCTCCCCGTTCCAGTCTTCTTGCAGTGTAGCTGATTTCATCTTTACAAAAAACAGTCCAGTTTAATTTGACATGCAATGAAGATAGGTGGAGGGGTGTGTGTGTGTGTTGGAAAGGAAGGAGGGGGGTTAAATTAACCATATGATGCCCCCTGGTGTACATAAATCATACTACAATGTTTATCCATACACAAGTGGTTGTAGACATCTCCAGGCAATTGATGGTTTCACTATAAATCTTAATTCTTGAGGCTGAAGAGGCAGATGTAAATGAAGTGTGAATGCGATATTAAGTGGCTCACTAGAATTGATGCCGCTGCCGATCAGTATACTGTGCTTTTAAGAAGCTTAAACCTCTTTGTTGCTTAGTTTTAAATGTCCCCTCTTCTTGGATACTCTCATTGATAACGACATAAAGCAGCCAAGTCATTCATAGCAGTGACTGTTTAAAAGCCTTCTGTGTTTTTAAATCATACCTGCTCACAAGTTTTCTGGACTGATATCTCTTTATGCTCTCCAGGGCGATGGAAAAACTGAATGGATCTATGATGGAGAACTTTGCCCTGAAAGTGTCGTACATCCCAGACGAGACGGCTGCAGCAGAGGGGGCTTCAGGCAGGGGCCGCAGAGGCTTTAACGCCCGTGGAACCCCTCGTTCCGGCTCTCCAGGTCAGGGTGCCCGGCCCAAAATGCAGTCGGACATTCCACTGCGCATGCTGGTGCCCACGCAGTTTGTTGGGGCCATTATCGGCAAGGAAGGTGCCACTATCCGCAACATCACCAAACAGACCCGCTCAAAGTACGTACCCAGATGTCAGGAGTTATACTGGAGCTGTGCATGGTCACATTTCTCTACCGTTGATTTCCAGCGTTATAGGAATACTTCACCACAAGAATTATCCTTTATATCTTACTCCTTTTTACCTTGAATTTAGGACATAACATTGCGTTCCTCCAGAGTGAAAGGAAAACCAAAAACAGTATTGATGAGTTCAAGTGAATGGGAGGGTTCCACATTAAACAACAACTCTTCTTCAAAACATCAATTAACAAACTCTAGTGCAACTTGTATATCCAAGTCTCTTGTTTGTATTTGGGAGAAAGCTCAAGGCTTCCTGAACGCATGCCTTTTTGCTAAAATATAACTGTTGTAACATGGGAGTTGGATTATTGTGCACAGAGATGGTCAATTCATGTTTTGCTGTAGTTAAAATATGGCTTAGTTTACATAATTTCTTCAAGAATGTTCTGCACTTTTTGCTTTCTTTCTTTGTATAATTTAGGACCATTTATTGATATCTAATGCTGCACCCTTCATTTGTTTTGTTTTACTGTCTTCTAATCTTAAGTTTTTCATTGTTTAATCATTCTTAATCAATATGGTTGTTTGCATTTGATCTTATCTAAATGCATTCATGTCCTATCTTGTTGTTGAAAAGGTGCTTAAAAAATGTGTCTTGTCTGTACTCCAGGATTGACATCCACAGGAAAGAAAATGCAGGTGCTGCAGAGAAGCCCATCACTATTCACTCCACTCCTGAAGGCTGTTTGAACGCTTGTATGACCATCATGGAGATCATGCAGAAGGAAGCTGTCGACACAAAGTTGTAAGTTTCCCCCAAATAAAAATGAAATGCAAAATATTTGCAAGGGTTCTTATCATTTTGTATGTCACATAAATAATTGTAAAAGACTTAAAGTGGTTATTTTGTTAAACACACCTGATATAATTGTCCGCTCTCTTTAAATTACGTTTTTTTTCTCACATGACAATATTAACAAGTAGTCCAACAGTTGTGTCTGGTAATAAAGTTACATGTTGAGAGATAGATACTTTCTAAGAACTTTTACAGCTTGTTTATGATGAATGAAATGCATGCAGACAAAATTATATCTGTAGGAGAGGGCTGATCTGGATGTTGTGTTTAAGGTTCTCATTTTAACTTAACATCCCATCCGTGTCTTGCAGTACTGAGGCGATCCCACTGAAGATACTTGCACACAACAACTTTGTAGGAAGATTAATTGGAAAGGAAGGACGCAACCTGAAGAAAATCGAGCAGGATACCGGGACCAAGATCACAATCTCTGCGTAAGTTCACTTTTTTATTGACATGTATATGCTTTAGTGTCATTTAGACACTCACATAATGTATCCCCTCACACTTCCCTCCATTCTTCTTTCCAGTCTCCTTGACCTGACCGTGTACAACCTAGAAAGGACCATCACGATAAACGGCACCCTCAAGGAGAGCAACAAAGCTCTAGAGGAGTTGATGACGAAGATCATGGAATCGTATGAGAGTGACATGGCCGCTATGAACGTAAGCATTTTTATTGATATCGAAACTCTATTTCCTTCAAGTGGGAGATGTGTAAACAACTTGATTTCTAACTGAACATTTCAATATGAAGTAATAAAAACAGGAAACCAGAAAATGTGTGTTTTTTTAGGAAGGAAATTTGGAACATGCACATCAGTTATCTGGAATAGCTATAGCAGCACTTTCATATCCTGTATTATCCTGTCGTATTAATGCATACACTTGAATTTGGGAGTTTTCAATTTCTGTTGGTGCACACGGCTCTCATGACCGTATTTCTTGGATTGGCTGGGCATTTTAATTGGAGCCCAATTAAAATGCCCAGCCGATCCAAGAAATACGGTCGAGCCGACTGGCAAAAATGCTCAATCAATGCAAAGAATTTTGATGCTAAAATGCAGTCCATTGGAAAAAGGAAACTTTTAACAATGCGGTACAAATAATGCTTCAAGAGCCTGGGTGGATAGTCTGAAATCTGGGTTAATAAACATACATGTTCAAATGAAGCAGATGTTCCTCTGAGATTGATATTTATCTTTTTAACTCTGATCTGAAATCTTGACTTGTCAGTTAAACTTGTGTCTAAGCAAGCATACCAACCTTGATGTGCGTTGCATTAATGGATCTGTTCCCATTTCTCTCCAGCTGCAGTCCAACCTGATTCCAGGCTTGAATCTGAACGCTCTGGGTTTGTTCCCCAGCGGAGCGCCAGGCATGGGCCCCTCCATGTCCGGGATGCCGCCTCATGGAGCCCACGGTGGATCAGCCTATGGAGTAATTGACGGTCTTCTTTTCGCATCTAATACAGTATATCCTAAAAACGTACATTAAAAACCAAGAAATCGCTGTGTACACAAACTGTATTCCGCAGCTTTTGGGTGAGGGTTGTAAAAAAAAACGGTATATTTAGTCTGTAGCAACTCTACCTCATGTTGCTTTGTTTCCTTTAGTGCAGTCCTTATGGTGGTGAGGGGACATTTTGGGCTCCTCTGCTCTCTGCGAGCAGCCAGCCCTTTTCTGTAAGTCCCCCGTCCCAAAGTGCTTTGCACGGCTTGTGGCTGCTCGCTGCGGGATTAGAGGGGCAGGGTTTGCTACTGAATAAAGTTATTCTTCTGCCCCTTGATCTTTGACCTTTCTTAGGTACACCCTGATCTGTGTGCTTAGGGAAACACAAATCCTCGAGGGCACAGGCATATTGGCTTCTAGTCATATTTTAAATGTTCTACAGTGTTATTTCTGCAAATTATGCTGCATTTGCATTTTTGTAGGAAGGTGAATGTCTTTCAAACTGAACTTTCTCGGCAGTAAAAGCCCATCTCCAGATTTAGAGGCTGCCAAAATAAATGGTTATAGTACCCCCAGCTGACAGATTGAACAGAAAATTGGCCTCGATCCAAAATCAACAGTGCTACTTGTTGTCCCACCTAGTCGATGTACACCAGAGCTCCAGTCAATCACACACTTTAAACACGTGTGATGTAGCAGTTCGCAACCACGCATCTTCTCCAACTAAACATGAACACTGTTTTTTTTTTTAGTATTATGCATGATGCTTATTAGGATTGTGGCTTTGGATAAAAAATAAACATTAACAAAGTAAGAAGAGGAAAACAAATTCCCACTGGGTTTAATGGTCGTAGGAAGAAAATCCCAACTGAACATCTTTTGCTGGATCCACTGTCTGCATTGCTGAAGTTGGTTGTCTGCAGGTGATCACAGTTGTAATAAAGTGTTGGTTTTCCCAGCAGGGACAACCGGAGTCGGAGACCGTTCACCTGTTCATCCCTGCACTCGCTGTGGGAGCCATCATTGGAAAACAGGGTCAACACATCAAACAGCTGTCACACTTTGCCGGAGCCTCGATCAAGGTGAGTGTTGGACCGGAAGTGAAGTTTGGAATCTCAGTGATGCGTCGATAACTGCGGTCTACCTGTTGTCCCTTTTTCCTGATAGGAAACATAAGTGAAGGTTGCTGTTTTTTGTATTTATTGCTGACTGTTCGTCCTCTTCAGATTGCCCCTGCAGAAGAGAAGGACTCCATACAGCGGGTTGTCATCATCATCGGAACACCAGAGGCTCAATTTAAGGTACCTCTTCACATCCATAAAAACACATAAAACCCTCAAAGTAGTTGTAAAGAGTTGAGATGCATAGCTACATTTTATGTGAGCAGCTGTTTGACTTCTGCAGACATAATGTTCTTGTAGCCTTTATGGCTTTTTTATCAATATGTTTCTGCCTCTGGAGAGCCAGTCTTGAGCATTTTCTAGGGCTTTTTTTATTGTGTAAAAATGTCCCCTTTTCATAAATGCAGCATGAGTAATCTGTGTTTTTCCGGTTGCAGGCTCAATGTCGCATTTTCGGCAAGCTGAAGGAAGAGAATTTCTTTGGACCCAAAGAAGAGGTGAAGCTGGAGGCTCACATCAAGGTCCCTTCCTTTGCTGCTGGACGCGTCATCGGGAAGGGTGGAAAAACGGTAAGAAAGGGCTCAAACTTATTAGTGGTTATACTAGCTGTACAAACCCAAGCCAGCAGCGGACAAAGCTAAACTAGGCACGACATTTAAGTGTTCAGTCGCAATTATTGCATCCCTTTGTGGGCTGCAGGTGAACGAGCTGCAGAACCTGACCTGTGCAGAGGTGGTGGTGCCCAGGGACCAGACGCCTGATGAGAACGACCAGGTTATCGTCAAGATCATCGGACACTTCTTTGCTTGCCAGGTGGGTTTTTCTAAACAACTGGAAGATCTACAGTACTTCAGAAAGTAACAATCCCTAGGTCTGATTCCCCAGAGGCACTGTTCTCCTTCAGATCTGCATTTGAAGAAAGGTCTTACTAAACTTGTTTGAGAGAGCTGTAATCCCGTACATGCTAAAAGAAAAAAAGCAAGACGGCTGACTCTGTGTTTTGGAGCGCTCTGTTTTGTCTTGTTTTGTGCGTTAATTCAGTGTTTACATAAAGTACTCTCTTTCACCAGGGAAGAGCTCCTAAATATAAGAAACAACTTCAGCGGATTACATTGTGTACATTAATGTACACAATATCTGTTTGCTTTTTTTTATTACTGCGGAATTGTATTCCATATTTTATTTATTTCTATGTAAATACTGCTATATTTGACTATATTCCTTATTATTTTAAATATGTTTATGTTAATGTTTTATGTAAGTCAAATTCCTCGTTAATGTAAACCTACCTGGTAATAAACCTGTTTCTGATTCTGAAGAGCATCAGACCTCTTAAGGATTTCATGATCAGGGGCCGTATTCACAAAGCATTTTATCTTACCGCTAGGAGTGCTCCTAACTCGCGCTAAAACATTTTACGTAGGAGTTTTTTCTTAAATGTTATTCACAAAGCCGCTGAGACCTACTCATACTAAGGATAAATCACTAAGAGTGAACTAAGAGTGACGCGCCGTTGCTATGGATTAGGTCGATTCTCGTGCATGAGTTTAGAAGCGGTCAGTACGGTGATTGGTTGTTCAGAGCAGGCGGTCTCGGTGAAACTATCCGCAACATCCCACACACGAGCCCACTAAAACAAGGAAATAGCCTCGGCTAGAAATGTATTCCTATCAAATAGTTATGGACAGTGCAGTTAGCAGAATAAACACATGATGACAAGTTTGTGCAGACCACGATAATGACGTTGTATATGCACGTTAAAGAGAGAGAGCAAACAATAAAAATACATAAATTGCATTAAATCAAGGAGGCAATTAAAATTAATTCTGTACTAATTCCACAACAAGTTTGATACCCTCACGATTTAGCCTATATCTCTTGATCAATTCACAGTCTTCCATTGTCTCCAAAACATTTCGTCTCGCAGCCATTTTCAGATTCTTTGTGAATAGGTCTTACTGAGTTAGGAGTCCTCTCGAGGACTTTTAAGCTCTCCTAAACTTAGGTGTTACTTTTAGGCCTAAAATACTTTGTGAATTGCTCTTAGTGAATACAATTAGGAGTCCTACATTTAAGACTGACACGCCCATTATGTTTAGGAGTTTCTCCTAAATTCGCCAGTTAGGAGCTACTTTTAGCCCTAAGATCCTTTGTGAATACGGCCCCAGATCTCTTTCTTTTAAGAACTCTTATTGTGATAACTTGGCTCTAATCCCGTCATGTTTTATGTCCTGTAGCTGGCCCAGAGAAAGATCCAGGAGATCCTGGCCCAGGTGAGGAGGCAGCAGCAGCCTAAGCCCACATCTGGAGGCCAACCGCCACAGCCCCGCAGGAAGTAGATCTCCAGCGGACCTGGAGGAACGGTGACTGAATCTGCCAGAAGACTCGACAGACGGATTGATGAAGCAGAGTCCGGGGGGAGAAGAAGAAGAATACGACAAGGAGTCGTAACGCTCATCTCAGGGGACAAAGATTATCAGAACCCAACCAAACATCCACCCCTCCTTGTCTTGCTTGATGAACTTTCAGGTGTGGCTAATAAGAGACGATCCACCTCCAAATCTCCACCCACCTCACTTCTCTGCATCTCTGTGAGAATGTACTTCTGAGGGCTCCCAACGACGTCACCTGCCCTCACACGTACGCACCCCTCGATCGCGCTCCTCCTCCCCCACGGGTGTGTTCAAAATATTATTATTTTTGTCCTCTTTTTACACTAGAAACACAAAGAAGAAATAAGGATCCCCCCCCTCCTATCAGCTACTTGGTGTGGTACTTCAAACCTGACAAGATTATTTTGTTGAATTAGTTTTTTGTTTTTTTTAATTGGTTTATGAAGCTTTCTCATGAGTTTTCTGTGGAAAGGAAAAGGCATTGCTATCAAGGTCCTGGTTGGACCAACAGAAAGGTTTATTTTGGGGGAGGGTTGGCTCAGATTGGGTGGGCCATGTTTAGGGGAAAGATTCTTGTTTCAGGCCAGGACCCCTGAAAGGGTGGATTATATTGGGTGTCCTGCCCTAGTAATGATAGTGGCATTTTATAAATTTGGATGCATTTTATAGATAGACCTATATACATAGATGAATATATATTTAGAGGTGAGGGCAGCGCCACGACTGACACTTGGGGAAAACAGTGCCGAACTGCTGCTGCCCAGGAAAACCAATTTAATATGCATTTTACTTAACTACCTCAGGATCTAGTACCTCAGAAGAGAAAAGAAAATGATTATATATATATGAAAAAATGTTCCTTTCTTTTTTATTTTGCTTTTGTGGTATTTTGTATACTTTATAAAGCTGATAGTCTTTGAACATTTTTATTTTTTTAAGAAAATTTAAAATTTGGTCAGCTGCCAACTGACCTTGCCTTCAACTCGGATGCTTTAGGTGGCTTTGTTCATGTGTATGTGTGACTTAAGATGACCCTGTACATAAAGTCTATTTGTACATAGCAGCCCCGGAGCAAGAGTTGGCGCCCCCTCAGCTGGCGGCTGACAGGAGTATCGAGAGAAAATCGCCTCAGTTTTTCCCCTGAGGGTCCACCATCTTCTGAAAAAAAGTACAAAACAACTGCAACATGCAAATAATGCCAACCGTACATCATTGCAGCAATGCCGTTTAGTTTTGGGATTGACATTGTTATTGGTAATGGTACTTTAATTTGTCAAAAAAACAACTTTTTTGCCTTCCTAGGAGGGCTGTCGTCAGGGCAGTGTGGACTTTAGGGGTCTGCTCGCTGCCCTACAGTCAGCAGAGCGTCTGTTTTTTCGTCTGTTTTGTTCCCAGACCATCTGCCACCTTCTCGATGTCGGTGTCTTAGCAAGGTCCAAGCCGGACTAGGTTTTTTTTTTCATAGAGCAAGCTTTGTCAGTTCGCAGTGGCCCTTGTAGCCAGGCCGTCAAGTCAATGTAAACATTGTTCACTGAATGGTGAGGGTAGGGGGAGACTCACTGATAGACTCAAATTCTTCTTCTTTTTTTTGGGCTATAGAAAATTGATTTAAACAAAGCATTCTCTGTATCCCTCAAATGTAACTTGATGTTGATTTGTTCAAACAGGGAAAAAGCCAGAAAAGGCAAAATACTGAATGACCCCCGACTTTGGGGGGTGGTAAGAAAAGAGGAAAGGAATCCAAAACTTAAATATACAATTTATTTCATTTGTCTCTTCATGCCGAATGTAAATATGTTGATTGTGGTAAAAGTGCTCGAGTGTATCCATGCTTCCACAGTAGAACGCCGTCTACCTCAGCTGAGGGGGTGGGGGGGCTGTTGTGGCACGAGGC